GACTAAATGTCCTGGCAGATGGCAGCGGAAGCAGGCACCAGCACGACTAAGCGCTTGCCGAGCAGGATCGTCATAGACCGGGCGATTCTTAACAGGGGTTTTGTTGACGGGGAGCACAGCCGAGTTTTCGAACTTCATCTGTATTTTGGGGGTGGAAGAGGGGGAAGGGATAGTGGTCCCTCTGTAAATGCCTTTGCGGGTTCCCATATACGATTTGGCAGGCTTTAGCTGCTGCAAAAGATAATCGAATTTTTGGCAGTCCTTTACATATTCAGTCAAAGTAGTTGCATGGGAGGTGATCATCTTATCGTTGAGTTCGTTGCTCAACTTGTAGGTCAGATCTTCCAGTAATTGGTCCTGGTCGGTGATTTCAGCAGTTGACGCATACAATTGGAACTCGGCATAGAACTCAGGGAACGGCCGATCTCTTTGGTATAAAGCATTATACTTGCGTCGGGCGTCCTGTTTCTTGTTGGGGTCCCCGTAGATATCTTCCAAAGTAGCAAAGACTTCTTCGACGCTAGTGTAAGGGTTCAAAGCATCAGTACGGTAACGAGCTCGTACCTGCTCAGCAGGAGGTCCCTTCAGGCGACTGTGTACATACGCCAATTGTGCGACGGGGTCGGAGTTTCCAGAAGCGCGAATCTTGTTCATCATTTTATCTTTCCATTGTTCCCAAGAAATGCCGGTGGAGGAGCTCTCAAAGAACTCAGGGTCTGGGATCTTGAAGGCGGGTTGGGGCGACACCGTTGACTGGGCTTTACGAAGGTCAACGATCTCTGCCTCGAGGCTGGTGATCCGATTTTCGTACTCAGCCTCGTTCTGTTCTGCTCCTAGAAGGCTCTGCGATATCTCTATGTTCTGAGCAGCTAAACGATCGCGTTGTCTTTTGATCGAGGCTATCTCCTTTTGATAACGTTGTTGGTCTATGTATACCTCGTCGGACCACCTTGCTATCTCGTTGCTAATGGATAGCAAGTCCGCCGGGAGATATCGTTCAAAGTTTTCAGCAACGCTTCCAAACAAGAAATTATAGGCTTCTGCAGCCATATCTGGCAAGAGGCCCTGATCGACTGCATCAAGTGCACTCAGGAGTCTGCGTTCTCTTCTTTTGCCTTGACTGACGGATTCAGGGAGATCGGGAACAATGTTGTGTTCCCCCTCCTGTTCTTCGTGAGGGGTTGGGGATTTCTGAGTTGTCATTTCGAGATCAATTCTATGTCTGTTTCTTTCGGTCCAGGATTCGAGTGTGATAATCAATTACGATTTAATCGATACGTAAATTTCAGGGCTCGTAGATTCGTAGGTTCGTAGGTTCGTAGGTTCGTAGGTTCGTAGGTTCGTAGTCTATACGCAATTATTTTTACTTCCCAGCGTACGGGAAAGAGTGTAAGATGAGCTTAGTATTATGTCACACTCAAGAATACTGGGTAAAGTATCTTGTATTAGAAAATACTAAGCTAAGGAGAAAAGAAGAAGGAAAACAAGAGTAGAGAGTTTTCCTATGATTAAATACAAACGGGGCATGCCACGTGACCCGGAGGTGTGAGGCATCACAATCTTTCATCCAATCTTATAAAAAAATGTCCTATTTTATAATTTTATAATCTTGATATTATAATCTTGTTATTATATAATTTGTTAAAAGGAATAGAAGTTACCGGTACTAATCACGTGTCGTGATTAGTAATACGGTTACCTAAACAGGCTAGATTAGACGAACCATAAGCAGGCATATTGGTCCCCTCAGAGGATACCAAGAGGAGATTAATATGCCTACACGCGTAGTAATATAATCAATATAGAGGCCTCTTCCACCTAATCTTTTGATATAATTATATTTTATTTTATTTTATTATATTTATAAATCTTTAAAAAAGAATTAAAGATCTTTTTTATTTCTTTTATATATCTTTTATATATCTTTTATATATCTTTTATATATCTTTTATATATCTTATTAAAAGATTGGGTGGAAGAGGCCTCTATATTGACTATATTACTACGTCTGTAGGCATATTAATCTCCTCTTGGTATCCTCGGAGGGGACCAATATGCCTGCTTATGGTTCGTCTAATCTAGCCTGTTTAGGTAACCGTATTACTAATCACGACACGTGATTAGTACCGGTAACTTCTATTCCTTTTAACATATCTTTTATATATCTTATATGTGATGTGACCAAAAGAGTGTTTATAGACCAGCAATTGTATTTAACTTAGAATCTACAGGTGAAGAGCACCTGTAGATAGGGATAGCTACTCTATATATACACAAATGAATGGCCTAGCCGCAATGACTAGGCAAAAAGAAGTCGTATTTATTCCTCCAATGATCTTACTTTACCGATAACCATTGATACCTAGTACTTGTCCGGATCTGATCCTCAGGTCACCTAAATCGCATACTAATCTCGAGTAATCGTATCATGTGTGGACATGGTTAATGTACCTGAGGTTTCTTATATAATAAGGGTGGGAGGAAAGCAGGGATTTCCGTCACATGTGACGCCTCACACCTCCGGGTCACGTGGCATGCCCCGTTTGTATTTAATCACAGGAAAACTCTCTACTCTTGTTTTCCTTCTTCTTTTCTCCTTAGCTTAAAATTTTCTAATACAAGATACTTTACTCAGTATTCTTGAGTGTGACATTATATATCTTTTATATATAATCTTATTATTATTTAATATTGTTCAAACTGAGTTGTTTGGAAGTAGTAGTATTATTAGATGTAGGTTAAACTAAGGATCTAAGTTACAGTAATGGTAGAATTGAAGATATTCCCAATTATGGTCCGTGCACCATAATGGTCATATGACCTCAATTCTAGGCCCATAATGACCTTAATTTCAACAAATATATAAATTATTTCAAATATTTATAATAATATTGATATTTATTAAATAAGAAAAACTTGAATAAATCTAGATTTAAAGACTTTAAAAAAATAAAATAGAGATTTAAATATAATAATTTAATGAATCGAGTTTGTTTTATTGATAACAAACATCTATTCATCTATCAACTCATTTATCCTCATCCATTCATTCATTTTTCCGTCCATCCATCCATTAGGTCATAATCCTTAGATCAGACCACAGTATGTCCTTACTCCAACTGCCCCTCCATTGCCTCACCACTCGCCATCACATGCTTTAAAATGCAAAAGTATGTGGAAATAATAAAGGTAATCTAATCTAAGATTCCTCTGCATCCTCTTTGGCGGCACCACTCAAATCAGCTGCTGCATCCTTTTCACCCTCTTTGATTAACTCGACTTCGTTTGCGACGGATCCACCCTCGTCAGCACCAGCGGTAGCCTTAGTTTCGCCATGGCCATGTCCATTGGTGGCTGGAATTTCTGAGGCTGGTGTGGCAGTTCCTGATTCTTCAGCGTCAAGTCTCTCGACTTCCTTTTGAGCTTTCTCGATGTTCTATTTTGGTGTTAGCTTACTGTAAAAGGTTGTAGAAAACTCTTCAAGAACTTACACGCTTGGTTTGAGCAGCTTGGTCCTCCTTCCAGTGAGCCAACTTGGCCTTGACCTTTTCGGTAACAGCTGGGACATCAGCTGCGCTGAATGGTGGGTCAATTCCCATCTTGGCGAGATCTTCCATAACAGCTGGGGGGCAACTGTATTTCGCTGAAGCTGGGGTAGAAGCAGCTGCAGCATTTCTCTTATTGCCCTTCTTTCCCTTCTTGCCTCCAGTTCCCTTCATGAAATCTTCCTCACGGTCTTCCTTCTTCAAGACTCTGGTTCCCTTGAGTCCGGAATCATCAACGGTACGTCCAGCAGCAGCCTCAAGTCCAGAAGGAGCTTGTAATGGTGCCTTGGTTGTGGTGAAGGTTGGGTCAAGGTATCGGAGAACAGATTCGGCATTCCTGATTTCGTCAAGGTAGGCAGGGTCACTAGCCTCCTCGAGCATCTTTTGGGCACGTTCCTTCTTGCGCTCATTTTGTTGCTTCTCATACTCAGCCTTTTGTCTCTCACGAGCCTTTTGACGTTGGTTGAAATCATAACTGTTAGCTGCTCTGACAGCCTGGTAATGCTCATCCTTGATTTGTTTAAGGGCATTCCATTTTTCCTGTTGCTCGGCTTGGAGTCTATCCTTCTCGGCCTTGAGAGCTCCAAAGTTCTTGAAAGCATCGTCTTGCTCAGCCTTCAAAACATCCAATTCACCTTGAAGCTTCGAGTATTTTTCGGATAATGCCTTGCTTTCTGGGTCATCAAGCGAATCCTGGAGAGTCTTTCTCTTGGCTTTCAAGGCCTCAATTGACTTCTCGGTATCGTCAAATCCAGCGAATCCCTTGCGTTGCTTACGAAGGTTGGAGATTTCGGTAAGTGTCTTGCGCTCATCAACAATTTTCATAGTAGCAGCATCAACTTGCTTCTGTAATCTGTCGATCTCCCGGTCTAGCTCATCTACATTCTTGAATCCAACCTTTCCCTTGGCAACCTTTTGCTCATTAACCTTGGCCTTAATTTGCTCATCAAGCTTCTTGATTTGGTCAAAGACTTGTAGACGACCGGCTTTTCCAGCACCTTGTTGTTCCTTAATCTCCTTCAACTGGCTGATCAAATTACTTCTATGCTTCGCAGCTGGGGAATCCTTATTCTTGTTTGGTTGCGCAACATCCAACTTTGCTTTTGCGGCAGCCTGCATTAAATGATATTAGTAACTGGTCATCTGGACAATGCAGCATGCCGATGTACAGATATGACATGATCCCATGGGAATGATTATGTAGATTCTACTCACAGCTTTTTCCACACTTTGCTTGTGATCTTTCTCAGCCTGGGCTAATTTTGCTTTGAAAACTGCTTCATCTGGCTTGACTGGTCTCGATTGAACCTCTTTTTTAGCTCCATCCTCTGCTTTGGTCGCAGAGGTTGGTTTTGCAATATCTGCCATTTTTTTTGGTTGGGATTATGAACAAGCTATTAAAAGCTTTTTCTTGTTTCCTTGGGAGATTTATTGAACAAGATGAATGTTCAATTAATTCAAGGACCAAAAGAAAAGGGGATATGTCACTTAAGTATAAGGACACAGTACCGTATTAGTACTTTGGAAGGAGGTGGTCGAGGATACTGAGAAATAATTATATAGGAAATGAATCTATTAGTTGTGCGATGACAGGTTAACATTTTTTTTAGCTTCTCTATTGGCTGTGTTAGGCTGTTCTAGATGGGGTACCAAGGATAATTGACTCGAGTAGAGTACAAGCGGTACTTCAGACGAGCATAAAAACCGTTGGAATTATACGGTGACCTTGGAGCTACAGGCTCTGTTGGGGCTGCATAGAGTTTCGATAGGCTCTAGAAGAGGCCGGATAGGAGATTGAAGTCGAAGATTGATGAATTAGAGACTCTACAGCGTGTCTAGGAGTTACCTAGTACCTAATCGTTAGGTGTCATGCTATACGGTGACCATTAATGAATCAATCTAACAAGAAATACATCCAAACCCAGTCTAGTCTCAGTCAGTACAGTGCTCGGACAGTCGGAGTTTATCATCCACCAACTCTCAATATCATGTGACTTCCCCATACATCCATTCAACTTTGAACTTTTTTCTGAGCCACTAGCGTCAAAATATTTACAAAGGGCCCTTCTATTTAGATCGCTGCATCTAATTTCTATCAACAAGACAGTCATCAACCGCCTTCTCACATACTACTCCTTAACACATTCAAGGGACTTCCAGTAGGATATCATTCTTCTTCAGTGCGCAATTATTTTCTCCCGACCAATTCTAGACTTCCTCATACCTACTACCTAAATCTTCAAAATGGCCGACGATGAGGATCGCGCGCAAAAGCAACGAGATGGTATTGACAGAGAGGCCGCAAAGTTATGGAGATGCTACAGAACTGTACACGAAATGGTCCAAGATCGTGGTTATCTTCTCGCTGAAGAAGAAGTCAACATGAGCTTCGACACATTCAAAGCCAAGTTTACCAGCAACGATGGAAGTGTTGAGTATGCGCCCTTCTCTCTTTCAACCTTGTAACCTCGTTCAACACATACTACATTCTCTAATTCCGCTTGGTATCGGATCTTCCTCTTGGGTTCATGAACTAACAATGTATTTCTTCAGTCGTCGCCAAATGAATTTCTCTGCAACCCCTAGTGAAGCTATGATTGCCAAATACGCAAACGCACCCACTCCCCAGAACCCAAACCCAACTACCTCGGAAATCGGTACCATCTGGGTTGAGTTTCTCATGGTAACTGATGTATCAATCGGAATTAAACAAATGCGTACATTCGCTCAGCATCTTTCTCAACATAACTTCTCTGCCGGAATTCTCATCGCACCTGTTCCGCCATCAGGTCCCGCTCAAAAGATTATCCCAGCCGTCGCATCTGATACCAGAATCGAAACCTTCGTCGAACAAGATTTATTGGTCAATATCACGCATCATGAATTGGTTCCCAAACATGTGTTGTTGAGTAAGGAAGAGAGAGCCAAGTTGTTGTCAAGATATAGATTGAAGGATACTCAACTTCCACGTATTCAAGCTGCAGATCCAGTCGCGAAATATTTGGGATTGAGAAGAGGGCAAGTGGTTAAGATTATTAGAAAGTCCGAAACTGCTGGTCGTTATGCCAGTTACAGGTTGTGCGTTTAGTTGGGTAGGAGGATAGATGATTTGGTGTTAATAACTAGGGAGTTCATTGGGAAAATTGCATATTTGGGGATGGCGTAAAGGGCTGTAAGAAAGCGGAGGGAGAAAATAGTCTATTTCGGCTTGCAGTAGGTATTATTTATCAGACATGGAATTTGATATCAAATTCCCTGTTCGGTATATTTCTGATAGTTTCAGAGCTTTTCAATAAGATCTATTTCTACAGATTGGAAATTTCGCCTTCTCTTTTGACATACTCATGCAAACTTCCTTTTTCTCATCCTCGAGTTCAAGGGCATATCATGAGCTATCCACTAGTTCATCCTTTCGGAAACTCATTGGGAAGATGAAATTGTATAAAGCCCAAGTTACCCTGAATTTCAACCCTTTAAATACCATCCACCATCAATCCCAGCAAGTACTTAACAGAATTCACCAAGCTCTACATTAAATAGTGTTCACCCTCACCTCCTTTAGTGCAAAATGAATCAAATATTGTATTATTAATTTTTGTTAAAAAATATTTAATTATATGTAATAAAATAATATATTTATGAAAATAAACAAAATAAGGGATTAAGATTATAATAATGGATTTATTAATATTATATAGTTTATAGACTCATTAGTTGATTTTATTTATTTTGACTCGAAAGAATAAGGGTAGATATAAATCTCAAGAGTCAGTATGTAATTGGTTCATCTTAGTCTCAGTTATCCTCGGACTATCTTTGTTCCATGAGCACCTCTCACATTTAATTTTTATCATTGCGACAGACACAGCTTGCTTTTGCGCAAACCAAATTTTTTTCTCAATCCATTCAATATACAACCCAATTAATTGAAAATGGGTCAACGTGGAAAGGTAAGCTTTTCCTTCCTTCCTTTCAATTGAATTATCAAAAGTATCTAACAATTAACAGGGAGGTCGTGGCGGCAGAGGAGGACGAGGTGGCAGAAGCGGGGGAAGATCGAGGGATCATGGAGTTGATAATCGATGTAGCTTTGAGAATGTTCCAAAATCTAATGAAAGGTTTGAAAGATATTATAATGGACTTTTGAACTTGGAGGAGGGAGAGAAGGAGGAGTTTTGGGGAGCGTTGAAGAGAGAATTACCGAATAGTTTTCGGTTTGCGGGGTCAAAAGGGTATGTCGCTCAATTGTCTACGTTCTGATCTCATATGATTCGCATCTCTGTCTTTTGCTTTCTAACAATTATAGTCATGCACTGGCAGTCCAGAAGCAATTGAAAGAACGATACATTCCTGAAATTTCGGCCATTAAGCAATTCGATGGTAGACCAGTTGAACCTCCAACGCCAGTTCCATGGTATCCCGATGAACTTGCATGGTCAATGAAGACTTCAAAAACTGTGATCCGAAAATCTCCTCCCTTTGCCAAGTTCCAAAAATTCTTGGTTTCCGAAACGAGTGTAGGAAATATTAGCAGACAAGAAATTGTCAGTATGATTCCACCTTTGGTTATGGATTTGAGACCTGGAATGACAGTATTGGATATGTGTGCTGCGCCAGGAAGTAAGGCGGCTCAATTGTTGGAAATGGTGCATCATGGAGAGGAAACCAGGGTTCAGGCAGTTTTAAAAGGAGACGGAAGCGCAAACGCGGAATTAGAACTCGATCCAAGTGATGATGGAAGAGCTACAGGTTTATTGATCGCCAATGACGCTGACTACAAAAGAAGTCATATGTTGATTCATCAACTTAAACGACTTTCATCTCCAAATCTCATTGTCACTAATCATGATGCTACTATGTATCCATCGATCAAGCTTCCACCTACACCAGAAAATCCGGCAACCAATCGATACCTTAAATTTGATCGAATTTTGGCTGATGTACCTTGTTCTGGAGATGGTACAACTAGAAAGAATGTTAATTTGTGGAAGGATTGGAATCCAGGTAATGCACTTGGACTTTATATCACTCAAGTTCGAATTTTGGTCAGAGCTCTTCAGATGCTCAAGGTGGGCGGACGTGTTGTCTACTCTACTTGCAGTATGAATCCTATCGAGAACGAAGCGGTTGTTGCTTCTGCTATTGAAAGGTGTGGTGGCCCTGAAAAGGTGAAATTGGTATCTAGCGATGATCAATTGCCTTTACTCAAGAGAAGACCAGGTTTAAAGACTTGGACTGTCATGGACAAGAAAGGTCGTGTTTGGAATTCTTGGGCTGAGTTGCAAAAGTACATTGCAGAGAATGGTCAGGATGATTGGACTGGTAGATTGGTTGAGGGAATGTTTCCACCAACCGATGAAGCTATGTCAAGTGTTCCTTTGGATCAATGCATGCGTGTTTATGCCCATTTGCAGGATACTGGTGGTTTCTTCATTACAATTTTGGAGAAACAATCAGAATTCAAAGCAAAGCCAGAATCGGAAAATAAGAAGATCGCACCAAAACCTCCTATCACAGCGATTGTTGATGAGATCGAGTCTGCTCCCACTCCAAAGGATGGCGAAAGTGTCGTACCGAAAATTGAGGCAGCAGATGAACTTACTCACCCTACCTCAACCACTCTCGAAGAAGTCACACCTGTAGCACGTCAAAATCAGGAGCAGTACGGATCTGATGCAACCCATACCGTGGGTTCTAAGCGTCCTGCTTCGGAAATCGAAGACCCTGAAGTTGAAGGTGCTACTGAGAACAAAAAAATAAAGATAGAAGGTCGCACAGAGCATTACCCACCGCCACCGGGTGCAGAATTAAATCTCACAACTCGCCCGGGTGATCAACGATCCGATTCAAAACCACAAAAGATTCCCAACAAATATGGTCAAAATCAAGCATATGAAGAGGCATTCAAATATATTCCTGGTGATCACCCCCAGGTTCAGGAAATTGAATCATTTTACAAATTGAGTGAAAGATTTCCAAGAGATAGATTCTTGGTAAGAAATGCCACTGGCGAACCCGCCAAAACAATTTACTACACCACTGCGTTGATTAGAGATATCTTGACCGAGAATGATGGCAAGGGAATTAAATTCATTCATGGTGGTGTGAAGATGTTCATGAAACAAGATGTACAGGGTGAGGGCGTTTGCAGATGGCGTATTCAATCGGAAGGTATGCCAATTCTTCAAGGTTATGTTGGAGAGGGAAGAATCGTCAATTTGTCCAAGAAGGAAACACTTCGCACTCTCTTAATCGAGATGTTCCCTAAAGTTTCAGGTGACTCATGGAAAGAACTCGGAGAGATTGGCGAGAGAGTCAGGGATATTGGAATGGGATGTTGTGTTTTAAGAATTGAACCTGGTGAAGGTGAAGATGCTTTTACCGAGAAAATGGTCCTTCCTTTGTGGAGAAGTCTGCATTCACTTAACTTGATGTTGGCAAAGGAGGATAGAAGTGCAATGTTATTGAGAATTTTCAATGATACCACTCCATTGGTTAATAATTCTATCGGGGCTCAAAGAGAGGCGGAACTCAAGAAGGAAGGAGAAATCAAGTCAGAGGTTGCTCCTGGATTCAAAGTTGAGGATGAAGAGATCAAAGTTGATGTAGATGGTGGATTAGAAGGTACTGGCGCTAGTGTTGTAAAGGAAGAAGATCAAAAAGATGGCGATGTGCAAATTCGAGAGGGACCTTACGATACTTTGGTTGCAGGCGTAGAGCAAGTGGCTGATAGAGGAATGGACGTTAAAGCGATAAAGATTGAAAAGGGTGAGGAAACTGGTGGATCAGAAGAACAACTTGATGGTATGGGTGGAATTGAGGGACAACAAGGTGGTGTTGCTTAAATTTGAGAAAGGAAATTGATAGATACATGGATAGATTGATATGGATTATTAGCGTTTTTAATGGCTTGTGTAACTTTCAAGCTGGGATTCATTATTAAATCAAATATACATTTGAAATTGTATCTTCCTCCTTGTACTCGTGATCAATATGAGATTCTTGATAGGTATGGAAAGAAAAATCTAGATTCTCCTCATCCAGTCAGTCAATCTTAAGCGAGCTAGTGAATCATAAACTGTGCTCTGCTGGCTTGCTGATTTGCTGGTTTATATAATATATATTTAATAATAATATATCCTGCTCATTATATATTTAATATATTTATTATACTTCACTGCGGTTGTGACGGAAATCCCTGCTTTCCTCCCACCTTTATTATATAAGAAACCTCAGGTACATTAACCATGTCCACACATGATACGATTACTCGAGATTAGTATGCGATTTAGGTGACCTGAGGATCAGATCCGGACAAGTACTAGGTATCAATGGTTATCGGTAAAGTAAGATCATTGGAGGAATAAATACGACTTCTTTTTGCCTAGCCATTGCGGCTAGGCCATTCATTTGTGTATATATAGAGTAGCTATCCCCATCTACAGGTGCTCTTCACCTGTAGATTCTAAGTTAAATACAATTGCTGGTCTATAAACACCCTTTTGGTCACAGCGGTATATATATATAAACATAAACAAAATTGCCATGGTACACGAGTATATGTATATATATATAAATCCAATCAAACAATCAAATGCCTACCTACCTACATACATATCCCTAATATCCCCTCCCTCGAGAAAAAAAATCCTACAGATTATAGATACCTGAATATTTAGATCCTAGATTAAATATGTGTAGCTTTGGAGAGAGATTTTTGTGCTGTGTTTAAGTGGTGCTGTATTTAAGTGGTGATGTGGTGATGTGGTGATGTGGTGAAGTGGTGAAGTGGTGAAGTGGTGAAGTGGTGATGTGGTGAAGTGGTGATGTGGTGAAGTGGTGAAGTGGTGAATGGGGGGTGGTGTGAGGTTTGGCGTTTGGTTTGGGAGTAATGTGAATCCTGATACCATGTAAATGAGAGATGCTTGCCTCAAACTATACATCACTTATCCATGCAGTGGAATAAATACAAACCTGTATATGAATCATACAAGATCATATAAACGACCAAATCATAAATCTACATTACTCTAAAGAATCCTCCACATTACGCCTCAAAACCTCAACAATCCAATCCTTCCCAAACACACCCTCGGGTATCCGATACGAAAACGTCAAAGGAAAACAATGCATCTGTTTATCCCACTCTAACCATTCACCCTTCACGCCCTCACTCTCCAATTTCTTTCTAAACTCTACCGAATCCGGCGCCAAACAATCATATAAACCCACCACACCATCTACCTGTACATTCGCTTTTTTAAACACACTTAAATCAGCTAGGAGAGGAGAAACCGTAGGATCATCAACCGCTAATTCATGACCCCATCTTTCCGCAACCTCGGTAATGACCGTTCGACTCAAAATCGGATCATGAGTATCAATTTCGTCGATTCCCGGATGCGTATTTCGAAGATCGGTAGGAGGTGACATGACCATGATATTTCTCAACGGACAAATTTCCTCCTCTCCACATCCACCCTCTAAATATTGATTCGCGCCATAAATCCCCAACACCAAAGCAATATTCCCACCAGACGAATCCCCCATCAAAGAAATCCTACACCCATCATCTTGTGCCTGTGCAGCAACCGCATCATAAAATCTCCTTAGATGCGGAAGTGAATGCGTAGCGGGTGAATTGGGCGCGAGAGGATAACTAACGAGATTTATCTGATATTCTGGTAATTTCCTGCAGAGCTCTGCGCAGAGTGTCCAGTGTTCCTTCAGTGCACCGCTTCGGAATCCGCCGCCGGCGAAATAGTATAATTTGTCGAGGATGATCCGGGATGAAGGTGAGGCTGAGGGTGAGCTGGGTGGAGAGAGTGAGGAAAAGGTGTAGATGTATGTATCAGCGATTTGATGTTCGGTTATTTGACAATGTTTTTTGGTGGAGTGGTGGGGGGTTAATTGGGGGGATCCCGAGGGGAGTGGAGGATGCGTTTTGAGGATCGTTTTGGAGAAGGTTTTGATGGCTTTTTGGGATATACTGCTTAGACTTGATCGATCTTCTCGTTGAGTGAGTTTGATTGAGCTGGAGGTTTGCTGGGAGGATTCGAGATTAGACATGATTTTGGTGGGAGTGGGAATGATCGGAGTAAGTTGGATGGATGTGGAGTATGTTGTTGTTGTTATGGTATCATAATAATTAATTGGTATTTCATTCGCATATTCGTAGATTTTGTAGTAGATGATATTGAAATAGATATCATTAATTGATCATGAAGTTACTTTTTAATAAATACTAGAGTACTCGAGTACCGGTAGAAGTGAAATATAAAAAATAAAAGATGTCAATAATCAGGGTCCTGTCAAACCCACAATGAGATCATCGACCCCTTTCCCCATTCTTGGAGACCTTGATAACGGTTACTATTTTAGCTCTGATTTTGAGGGACCTGCCACGCGTTTCTTCTAATTATCCGGTTGATGTTACTGGTTTATTGCGGATGATCAATCATATGATAATTGTATGGTGATGGATATTAATGGTTCAATGATTTTATATCTGAGGAAGTAAGATCTTACCGGTACACAGAGGTACTCGAGTAAATGTGGAGGGGAAGTTCGTTTGTGGTCATAATACGAGTTTGAGAAACCTGGGGTTTCTTAGTTTTATCGTATGAAGAAAACCCTGGAATTATGTACTCCACCAGTTCTCACGGGCGACATTTTGATTGTCATAGCTTCTTCGTTACGTTTAATGCGCCTCATATCACCGACATGGAATCTAATTACACATTCAGTCGCAGCTTATAAATTAAGGCGATCAAAGTTGATTGAAGTGATATGGTTGCAACACAGAAGACTTGACCAGCTATTTATTAATCTTCAAGTGGAGATCTAGATAAAAGTCAAACAAGAACCTGTAACTTAGGCATGTGTTGTGATTCGATCCATTACCCCTGCTAAATTTTCTTCTTCCATCAAGATCATCTGAGATTCTCAATGTCGTGTTGTTCTTGAAGTTGAGAAGAGGGGAATTCGAAGGCGGAAGGTTGGGGGCACAATATAAATATAAGTTCTTCGAATGGTGATTTTAGTATCAGTATTTATTTGATTAATTTGAAGAGCGTTGACATTCAGAAGATGAAAAGATCGCTGAGTTCGGAGGGGATACAGATGGAGGTAGTTTGTTAGGTAACTAAGGTCGCGGGATCGAAAGGATTGATGGTGGTTGGCGGAAGTGATTAAACAATAGGTGGAAGTGTTTCTTTTTGGCGATGAGATGGGAATCTGTTATGGTAATGTAGAAATTCTAATTTCTCAAAGCTTTCTGGATGTCATTCTTGTCTATGGGATATGGATGGAGAGATAACGTCTGAAGTTAAAGGGCTTGATTGTCCGATTACCTCATGATATACCCCAAACCAACGGCTCTAAGATCTTCCTCTCATATGGAGCAGTAGCCAATGCTAATGCTCACAGTCATCTGGACTGGTACTGCGCACTCCATAAAAGAGAGAACAATTTTAGAATCCTTACAAGACTTAACCTGCGGGTTCATCCCCAAAGCCTCACATGGAGACACCAAATTTGTGAACGAAATAAGTTCCTTACATCAAATAGTCTTGTATCGTCTCTTTTTTCATCTTTCTCCATAAACAAGTTCCCTGTTTTGATTCTCCGAGATGCCTCTTCATTCCTCCAAAGCCCGACCATGAACACCATGAACAACTAAACCCCTCCACCAGTCTACTTCCCTCCGATATCCCCACCAAAGGACCAGCCTCCCCACTCCACCCAGCTTCTTCTTTCTCTCCCTAACCTCACCATCGTAATATACTTCTTTCCGTTCTCCTCCTCCAAAACACTGCCCATCTCCTCTAATACCACAATCCATCACCTCCTTTGCAACACCCACTTCCAACCTCATAAACAACCAACTTTAGACACCCTCCAGCCAATCTAACGCTTCCATCAACTATCTATCCTAAAAAGATTTAAAACCAACGTCTACCTAGCAATTCACATCTTCAAACTAAACTTATCATATCCAAGAAACAGAGAGAAGTTTGAACCCTTACACTACGAGCAGAAGTACTAGCGCAGAGAACTAATAATCCCAACCAATAAATTATCTAGGAGTGATAGTGAACTTGGTGGTTCGTTATTCTTGTTCTTCCTTTTCTTCATTTTCCTCTCTCTCTCACTTTCAGATTATCATCCTCTATTTCCCATCCTGCTTCTTTTCATGCTCGCTCTCTAACTCCCTTCTTTCCCATCCCTAACATCAACCCTCTTCCTCCACGCCTATCATTTCCCTTCCTCCCAAGCAGAGCCCTCCCACTCAGACCCCCTCCCCACTAACAATCTCTATTAACAGCCGCATCCCCCACAAACCCAAGCACGAATCTTATATCCTAGATCTTAAATCTCTGACAGTCTTTTCCACCCGAATTCCAATTCCTATTCCAACTCTTCCAAAGCTCTCATCCGTATCTGTTAATTCACTAATATACCAATTATCCCATAATATAATATTCAAGCTTGTGATTTTCGCTAAAAAAAAAAAAAGAAATAGGGGGTGGTTTATATAGATATAGATACAGATACTTTACATGTTCTAATTATACGAATGCGAATCATGGAGTCGAGATATTTACAGAGGGAAGTAAAAAGGGATAAGAATTTGTGGTGGTTGAGAGAGGGCAAGAGGTTATATGATGTAGAGGGTGGTGCAGGGCATGTTAATGAGTGGCAGCTTCGAAGATTCCAGATCTTAAAGGAGAGATAGGAGAATAACAAAGATAATATAAATGAACTGAAAAATGAATCAAATTGCAAAGTAACATTTTCCCTCCTTTCAAAAAATAAACAAAAAAATCAAAGAACCATGTACACACAACACCCTCCATCCCCATCCCCACCTCCACCTTCATGCAAATCACCACTTATAATCCGTCCCGCTCTCATGCTCCATCATATCAAAAGCAGGTTTCGCACTAAAATACCCCGCGCGCTCCGTCCCAATCGCCTTAAAAGTAAACGCCGCATCCTCATCCTCGATCTTAATAGTTTCCCCACCTCTTCCCCCCGCCGCCGCATCAGCCAATAATTGCGCATGACAGCATTTCTCCAAACTGGTGAACCAAAATACGGCACTCTCGATTGATTCTCCACAGGTAAGTAAACCATGATTTTGAAGGAGTGCGGCTTTTTTGGAGCCCAGGGCGGAAGCTATAGCGTGGCCTTCTTCGGAGGCGAGAACGATGCCCCGGAATGAGGAGTAGAGTGCTAGGTCGTTGTGAAAGGCGCAGGAATCTTGTGTAATGGTGTCGAGGGGACGACCGAGGGCACAGAAGGCTCGTCCGTAGAGAGAGTGGGAATGCGCTACTGCGTTTATTTCTGGGCGGGCTGTGTGGACTGCGTGGTGGATCATGTAGGCTGGGGGTGTTAGTATGTGTAGGCGAAAGGTAGTGAGGGAGGGGACAATGTACCAGCTGTGTTGAGTAATCGACATGGACCACCTTCTACTACTTCCCCATCTTTATTAACGAGGATTAAATCCGAAGCTCGAAGAAGTGGCCATGCTACTCCAAATGGATTAACCCAAAAACTAGTTGGATCAACAGGATCCTATGCTCATTAGTATTCTCTACTCAATATCTCTGACCCTATCTTTATCCCCATCTAAATCCTACAACAAACCCATCAATTTATTCCCCAATACCCCACCCTCGAAAAAGCAGCACTCACCCTCAAAGTAATATGTCCCGCAACTCCCTCATCATACCCCAATTTTGCAAAAATCCTAAACGCCAACACTAATCTCCCCTTCTGATATTCCCTCTCTGCATATTTATCTTCAAACGGTGTTCGCAATGTGAATCTTAAGCCGCCGGAGCGAGCTTTTGCCTGTTCTTTTGAGAGACCTGGTTCGTGTGTTGTGGCTGAGGCTTCAGAATGAGGGGTTATGGGAACAGCGGCTCCTGTGTTCACAATGTCGTTTGTATTAGTTGCTGAAGGGGAAGGCATTTTGGTTGCGGTTCGGGATTGTGAGGGATTGACGGATATGAATATGAGAGAGGACAAGATATGAGATGTTATGAAGTGAGAGACAACGCAATAGATAGACGTGGCAATTGTAATGGAGACAAGTCAGGAGACTGGAAGCAAGACGTAAGAAATTCATACAACTACACGCCACGCCCTATCTACTAGAATCTCCATAACAGCCTATGACAATCATGCCAGAGATCCGGTAGTATTAATTGACACGACTTGGTTGGCTGGACGTTTGCATGCATTTTGAAGATCTCTGTTTCCATAAATGAGGGGTATTTGTGGAGTGAAAAGGGCCAATGCAATATGGAGTAGAGGAGGGGTGAATATTACCTCATAGTAGGTATAGATTAATAATCGGCTCCCACCAACGATTGTCCCCGGAAAACGAAATGTCCCGTCAATTATAAAGAGTGAATTTGGATTTTGACAAGATTTTATACCGAAGTCGGCCAAGGGACAATTCATTTTCCGAGGATAAACAAACATTTCCCGCAACTAGAAACTAATCGGCTCTTTGTGAAAGCCGACTATTAGTGGCGAATCATATAAGGAGATGCATGAATTCGAGGTATATCCGAATAGAAGTGGTTACTCTTGATGATCTTTGAAAGCTGCTTGCAGAACATCGAGGCTCATTTCTGATACGTACAGCCTCCGAGGTAAGTAAACGGAATATTTTCCGTGATTACTTAATCACTGTAACACGTACATCACGTGAACATGCGTTTTCGTGTGACTTTTGACGTACCTAGAACACGGCGACAGCTACCCCAAGCTCCAAACCTATCTCCTGATTTAAGAAAAGTTTTGCTATATAATATAATATAAAACAAACGACATGGAAGTTTCCAACCAACAAAATCTAATCAACATATGTCTCGAAACCTTCTGCTCACCAACCCGAACCACATTCCCAGGCCTCTCTAGTTACAGCCCAAGCACAAAATCCACATCAGCATCAACATCAAAAGCATCAGATAACACACCCCAACTCCTCTCACAATGCGGTTCTTCCATCATAACCCTACTATCTCATCTCAGTACCATCATCCGTAAACACACGGGCAATAAACCCCTCACACTCCAAAGACTCGACGATATACTCTCACTAGCCAAAGAAAAAATCTACGCATTTCCCTATAAAGATGTTCCAGCATGCTGGAGAGCACTATATCTCGAAGCGAGTATATTAAAATTTTCAGGTCTTGTTGTGGGGGGATTCTCACCTTTGGAGCTGCGTGAGAAAGAGTATCAGGTTTCGGAATGGGATGGTTCGCATGATCGGGCTATGGATCAGATGGTTGAGACGATGGATATGGCTTTAATCATGGTGGGGGCTCCTGCTTCTGTGTCGTTACGATTGGCGATTGAGTGTGCTATGGATCTTTTACAGAAGATTCATGAGGAGATAGTGGATGAAGATACTCCCACTCAACCAGCTACGAAACGTCGGAAAATATCTTCTAGTGATTCATTCTCAGATGTCACATTTACATATCAAGATCATTTTCCATTATCTTCCCTCGAAGCACCTCAACTTTCAAACCCCATCTCGCAAGTAAGCTCCGATGATCTCGACCCCAACGCCGACGAAACCATAAACAACTTCTCAAATCACATGCATCAACCCCAAGATCCAAGCCTAGGAGCAGAACCCCTCATCATAACCTCAAGCATCGAATCCTGGCCCGCGCGCACCCAAAGACCCTGGTCCAGTCCCACATACCTACTATCCCAAACCATAGGCGGCCGACGCCTAATCCCCATCGAAACAGGCCGAAGCTACGTCGACACCGACTGGGGACAAAAAATCCTCCCCTTCAAATCATTCATGCAAGAATACCTTCTCCTCCCTGTATCAGACTCCCCAACCCCCCGCAAAACCACCGGCTACCTAGCCCAACATAACCTCTTCTCCCAAATCCCCACCCTCCGAAACGACATCCGCATCCCAGATTACTGCTACACGAGCCCACCTCCTCCTCATCCATCCTGTTCCCCCTCGCTAAAAGAAAAATACGCTCAAACCCGTGAACTAGACGAACCCCTCCTAAACGCCTGGTTTGGTCCTCCCGGAACCATAAGTCCCCTCCATACCGATCCGTATCATAATATCCTCGCGCAAGTGGTAGGCAGGAAATACCTACGTCTTTATCCGCCGCGGGAAACTCCGAGACTGTATGCGAGAGGTGTGGAAGAGGGAGGGGTAGATATGAGTAATACGAGTGCGGTTGATATCGGAGTATTAGCCGGCTGGGATGGTAGCGAGACGGAACAGGAAAATGAGAGGAGGAAATTTCCGATGGTGAAAGAGGCGAGACATTGGGATTGTGTGTTAGAGGAGGGAGAGGTGTTGTATATACCCGTTGGATGGTGGCATTACGTTAGGGGATTAAGTACGAGTTTTAGCGTGAGTTTTTGGTGGAATTGATGAGGTGCTGGATATATATCATATCCAAAGCCTTTTCCCTCGCTCAAATCAAAATAGAAAAAAAGATCCTCATAATTCCCCCTTCTAAAACCAAGTACATACACCACACCAACCTCGCAAACGATTACCGCTAATTTCACCATATCCCAAAGGCCCCCCTTACCTCGTAATAAGACTCCTCAAATCACCCTCTCGCTTAACATCCTTAAAATCAATCCTCTTGACCGACACAAAACCCAAATCCCACAATTCATCCACAACCGCATCTCTTATCCCGGGAAACTTATGAACAAGCATGCTCAGCAAAAAATCATTGATAGTTTCTGGATATACGAGCGCTAAACGTCCAAAACATTTAATAGCCGCTTTACATTTATCGATTCTGGAACTATTGGTTTCTTTTGCGATTTGTTCGCAGAGGGTTTGGTATTGTCTATATTTGTTGAATATTAGTTAGCAGGATAAATAAGATATCCGGGATGGCGGATAATGAATATACTAACTCAGCCGTGTAATTTTTAAACAGTAGTCCCATATCCAGCAATAGCGCGATAATCTCCAATGTACCTACTATCACTTTTTCATTCTTGCGATGATGTGTTTCTAGATTTCTAACCAGAGCCGCACCAATAAATTCTCTATTTTCAGCTTTCTCATCGCAAAAAGCAATCAAAGCTGCGGTGCTAACGCGACGTAAATCTTCTGTTCCTCCATGGGCAGAAGTTACATATCCTTCCAATAATTTATCCGTCCACGAAGGAAGCCATTGAAATTCCTTAGTCGTTGTATTTCTGGTCAGACGATCTCCCGTTTGTAAATCTAGCATAAATCGAAAATGTTCATAAGAAGAAATTGAACTTTGCTCAAAGGACAAAGTGTCGGATCTAAATTACCACAATGTTAGAAGTGAGGAAGAAATTAGCGAAATACCGAACTAACCTAGAGACAAGACTCGGCAGAATGACGAGAAGGGCTTTCTTCGCCTCTGTTCGAACTTTATCCAACTTCTCCGTGCTAAGTCTCAACAGCTTACCAAACATGGTAGAAAATATTTTCATATTAGCTGAATCACTTCTTAAATCTGTAGATAGAAAGATTGCCGCAGCTCCTTTGATAGCCTCTAGTCTTACTCGCGATCCAATATCACCTTGTGCTGGATCTGTATGATAGTCATCAAGACCATGTGAAACTATATCCCAGAACCCAATAATAGAAGAGTTTAGCGCTTTGCTTTCTTTTGAAATATATGGAAGCAAAGCCAGTCGTGTCTTGATATCGTAAATACGTTTGCCGATAGTTGACTTCCAGCTCTCATGTAATGCAACGGAAATTTTGTTCATTTGATCATTCGAGTTATTTTGGGACAATGAGTATGATATCAAAAGCATGGAGAATGTCAGCTGAGTCTTTTGCATTGACAGCAACATACGATCGATTAAACTATTTCGATGCCCAGCAGAATACCAAAAGAACGACCTGCGATGACAAGCCGTTAAAAGAGTAACCAATTCTTCAGAACCAGTGTCAATAAAGTGCCCGATGAAGCTTCTGACAAGTAATGGGAAGTTCAGAATATTTCCTCTTGCTTTTTCGATGTCGTGATGCTTCAACTCATTTTGGACACTTGAATCGTGTTGAGTATCGGAAGAATCAAACTCATCCATGGTATGAGCCAACACTTCAGCCACCGTTTGATGGCCCGAGGTACTAATCATATGCTCTGCATAAGGTTCCTCATACTCAAACATGAGGACTTTTCTGGTTTTTGAGTCGTCTAACCATTTTGATATATCGCTGGAGACAGAAGGCGCACCCGGCATTTTAAACATGACCATTATCCCAAATATACGGAAACAATGAAAGATCACACATGCCACAGCTTCCGCCATTAAATCAGGGCGTCGCCAGCTTTGTGGAGATGATACCGACGTTATGTTTGAAATGTAAGAAGTGAGCATATTGAGAATTCTATCCGAATACACTTGAAAAGAAACAGCATAATCTTCCCTCTCGTGAAATTTTGGACATTCAAGAATCGCTGCCGCTATAAAGAGAAGTAATCCATGCCGTTCGTTAGTCTGACGAACTGTAAGATCATTGAGTTGTTGATCGAGAGAACATATAGTGTCGTAAGAATCTTTGTATGTGTTAGGAGTTTTGCCATTCTTTTCCGGAAAATTTATAAGACGGAAGGCTTCAGCACAATTTCGCCTTGTAACAAGATCTGCATCACCAACCCCACGCCAACCTCGTAATGCTTCAAGGAGTGCCTCTCCATAGTGGTGCCAAGATTCTCCGCTGTCGGTTTTATAAGCCAGTGAAGAAGCTGAAACTGCCACTTCCAGTATCGCTCTAGATCGAAGAGCTACAGCATGATAGTCAACAATTTGTACCAACTCCAGGGCTTCAATGATAGTATTTGGATGGCGGCCTATCAGTTCTTGAAGTGCTGCAGAAGCTCCTCGACGTATATTGCCGGCAGGATCCAAGCATGCGGAGACAACGAGATGTGTTGCTAGAGTTTGTATAGTAGAGCTTGTATTCATCGAATGACTAAAACCTTCGGATTTGATGTCAATATCTTGTAATTCCGCAGTTGGGTAACGTCGAGCTAATGCCCATATTCCAAAGCATGCAGCATCTCGCACATTGGTTCCAATAGAGCTACCAGATGAAGACTTTCCCTCAAATGATAAAGCTTTGAGTAGAAAAACAATCACTTTATCAAGCAATTCAGGAGGTGCCGCGTGACGATATAGCAAATGTGAGAGTGTTAAAATTTGGCCATGCCAATTCAAAACATCAGTAGTTGGAAACGCTTCTAACATTTCGAAAATCGCAAGCACAAATTCATAGGCGTGTTCAGGTTGTACTTTTAGAATAACGACGCTTAACGCTTTACTTGCAGCCAATCTAACTGGCGTTGATGGATCCAATAGCGATTGTAACATGAAATCAACACAGTCACTCAAAATGTCATCAATAGTTGTGAAAGATGGTCGCAAATTGAGCAAAGCAATGCCGCGAAAAATCTTGATAATGAACTTCCGCGCAACAGCCGAGCTCTGAACTTCTTTGGAGAAACGATCCGATGATTCCACAAAATTAGAAACAGCATAGAATACTGGTTCCAAACCAGAGTCCATATAAGCGGTGCCCGTAGACGACTTGAGAATCCCAGCAAAAAAGGACAAAACACCATTGATATAGTGAATATTTCGATTCTCGTTAACAGACTTTAGAACAGATGTTGCCCACGTTATTGAAGAATTCAGGACCCCAAGATCTTGCATGTCCTTGAGCAGAACAACTCTCACTAGTAGGATCTTTGCAGCATCTTTCTCCTTGCCAGATGAGGAGAGATATTTTACGGCCAATGCGATAGACCGCAATACTACACCAGGAGTATTGGCTGGTAATTTAAAATGAGCCAGATATAGCTTGGCATCACGAGGTGGGGGGGTGGATGACAAGGAATTGAGAGCGAAAGGTGCCATGAGTGACTGCGAGAGCCAAAGCAAAGTTATGTATCGTTCTTCCCAACCCCATACTTCTTCTACTGGGTTTTCGCATGCATCAATATTTATCCATGTTCCTTTTTCGATAGCAGAAAGTAATAAATCAATAAGTTTGACATCGGTATTTAGGAATTGAACGATAACTTTCTCTCCTCTAACTTTACAGAATGTATAAAGTAATCGACAAATAGCTTTTGATAGAGGCATCAACAATTGAGTATGAGCGGGAGGGGTCTTCGAAGGTGGTTTCGATATGGAGGCAATGAAAGCATTAGCTAGTATGGGTATAAGTTTCTGAAGGTGTGGATCGAGGAGTTGAGGAAGTTCTTGGAAATTATCTAGCTACGGACAAACTTAGCATATGATATAGTATTAGAGGGAATATCAATACCAATGCTGCCAATCTATCTGTTTCTCTTGTGCGGACTCTCCTTCGTAGTTGACCCTTATTAGTAACGTTGTGAAGGAATGGGTGTAGTGATTTTTCGAAATCTTCCAAGAGCTCTCCTGACTCTCTTTGGAGTCGAACATCTTTATCATCATCTGCTGCGTCCATTATGAGCCTCTGGTTGAAGATGCGAAAACTGCTTTCGGGTGAGTGCCAGCTTGTCCTTGTTGTCGTGGTTGAGGATTGGAGTAAATGTTAACTTTTCGAAGTGCAGACTGGTACTTATTCCTTTTGATTAGTCATTTAACATGAGAAGATATTAAGCTGTCCGTCCGAAACAGGTACGGTATTTCTTGTCATCAATACTCATTATTGGTAGTATTATTGACCAAGGTAGGTATCAAGATCCAATTGGGGAGCTTCATGTTTTGGAGACAGCCATGCGGCATTTTAAACAAAAAAGTTTAGTGGGGTCGCGTCCGACGCCAACACTATAGAAAGACATGCGTGGACGAAATGAATCTCGTACCAAAATCGACATATCTGAGCCTGTTAACACTCTTCAATGTCCAATAAAGACTCAACAATAAGCTGGTCCGTCGCATTTAAATTTGAGCTTTATTTCAACCATTGCCTTGAGAAACCACTACCAACTTAAGATTTACGAGCTAAGTCTTGATTTTGCAGATGAATGTCACACATAAAGACAGCAAAAGGCAACACATGAATACATGTTGCAATGTTCGTCCTATCCTATTCTCTATTCATACATGAATCAAAACGAAGTCATTGCCACTATATAACCTTCGTGAACCAACCTCTACACTGGAGTACCCAGGTAGGTAGTCAGAGATGGTTACAATACCGAGCTCTCTCCCTAATGCCGTCTTACATCTACCCCACCCCATCACCCATCAATGCGGGGAGAAATATATATCCATATCATAGCATTATCTCAAATAAACTAGAGCATCAACATTCGACTAACTCATCTCCCATCCATCATGGCGCACAAACTCCATATAAACACAACCCACATCCACATGAAATGGGACAAATCACTTACTCCCATCTTGACTGTTGATTCCGGTTCTGAGATATCATTCGATCTTCTCGATGGAGGCTCCAACCAAATCACAGACACTTCAGACATCAGCGCTGTTGAAAATTTTGATATCGCAAAAGCCGATCCTGCATTTGGTCCCGTTTACATCAAAGAAGCTTCCCCAGGCGATGTACTAAAAGTTGAATTTCTAACCCTCAAACCAGCTGATTATGGCTGGACAATCTGTTTACCAGGTTCCTTCGGATTCGGCCTACTAGCAGATGAATATCCCGAAGCATCACTCAAAATCTGGGATCTTTCAACCGGAGAAGATTATGCCGTGTTCAAGGAAGGAATACATATTCCCATCAAACCATTTTTGGGAGTGGTGGGAGTAGCGCGGGAGGAAGAGGGGGCATTTTCTACAGTTCCTCCTTATGATACCGGTGGGAATATCGATTGCAAATATATTACTCAAGGATCTACTCTCTACCTTCCTGTCAAAGTTCCAGGTGCTTTATTTAGTTGTGGAGATGGCCATGCGGCACAAGGAGATGGGGAGGTTTGTGGGACGGCTATTGAAACCCCTATGAAGGCTACTATACGTCTGACGGTTGAGAAGGGTAAACCATGGATTCAAAGTCCACATTTTATGGTTCCTCCTCAACCTGTCACGGTGGATAAAGGAGAATATGCTGCATTGGGGATTGATAGTGATCTCAGAGAAGCGAGCAGAAAGGCATTAAGAGGATTGATAGCTTGGCTTGTAGGAGAGAAAGGGTTGGACAGACAAGAAGCATATATGCTAGCCAGTGTGGCTGCGCATTTGAAGATTGCGGAAATTGTCGATATGCCAAATTATGCCGTGGCTTGTAGTTTGCCGTTGAGTATATTTGTTGGTGCTCCTTATATTTGAGGTTAGGAGAGTTTCACATTTTCATTCACATCAGCTTCGAGAGAAGGTGTGAGCAGTTTTTAACCACGGCATGAAATGTTCCAATATATGCCCCACATACCGAGTTTACTCCATTGAAATGATGTTCCGAATTCATATCCCACGCATATAAATACACAAAACAGCTAATCCATATCAAGAGAAATGACACGCGCTCGATCAACCATTGAATATCTCCTATAGCTAACTGGTTATTCCCAAGCTCTCATAATGATTCAGACAATCAAATAAGACCGCTTAGATTCGGGGTAACATTTCCGATATCAAAAACTTCAATCTTTCACATGTCTCTTGCTCTTAAGTCTTGACATTATCGTAAAAAGCCTAGGCTTGAAGTATCTGAATGATATTTTCAAGTCTCATCAACCAATCAAAGCATCTGGATAAACTGAGCGTGAACACACGTGAACACCGACTCCCATCTCCAAATCTCAAATCAGCCTTCTTGGGAATTGTGTGATTGGAGAAAAGTGGAAACATGCATTAGCCGTGTTTAATTATTTTTCCGGGAGTTTCGCCTCATCCTTTTTCTAATCTATCTTCTCCGTATCCCGCATTGCCTTATTTATTCTCAGAGTAAAACCATTACCCTGCTAAATATACATCATATATCGGTACACTACTCATACCATCACATCTACATCTACATCCATCCACCAGGATACAAAACGAAAATCCCATCCAAATCTCTCGGGTCCCGACCCTACAACCTAACCTACGACCAAAATCTCACCTCCTCAAACGCCAAGGCTACCTCCGCACCTGACATAATTCCTCGCGTGGTTCCCCTGTCTCTTCACGGTACAGAAAATCTATAGATACCCAACCATTCGTGAAGATTACAAAAAAGGTGCTTTACGTATCCCTGTGCAGACCTTAGTTGGCCCTCATCTTCGGAACTGCATCTGCATGCACAAGAGATTTTTTTATTATTATCCGTCTATGGATTTCTTATCATCAAATTAATTATTATCAATCTATTATTTGATATCAGGTTTCCCGCTTCTTTTCTTTCCTTGTACAGTACTCCCTCCGGATGCAGATAGATACATACAGATGCGATCAGAAAAGTAGGTAAAGGAGTTCGTTCCCTGGTCCATGGATGGAGATGCGTGGGGAAGATTGAGTGCGGAAAATTGTCGTATGATTTTGCTCTGTATGTATGTACTGTATGTAACTAACCTACTACTTGGTCGCAACTCGCCGCATCTTTCGTACAGTTTGTGTGTGATGTGATGTGATGTGATGTGATGTAATGTCAACCTTACCTCACCTTCCTTACCTTGGAAAAACCCGAGTCGAATCAATATATGTCTTTGTCTCAGCATGTACAATCAATCCTATTTATGTACAGATACCGTTTGATGTACGAGGACTTTAAGATCTCGTACCACGATTATGAGACTCAGCTCTAGGCATCACTGTTATGTTCATTTACCGTTGCGCTTCTGTATAACATAACATGTATTTTTTGGCTTAAGCCTCAACGTAGAACGGTGTAGATGCAATGTAGAATGTTATGTCCGATGATCTAACGACTATCGTAGAAGTCAGATTTCACCGTAATTTCATCTGAAGCATCCTGGCTGGATGATTGTGTAGATCATCATTGTACTAATGTTAGACAGTTAGACGGTTAGAGGGCCTTGGGTAGAAATACGTTATGTTATGTTAGATGTGTACATTAATAGATTCGAAAGATAGAAATTCGTAGAGTGAGATAACATGCCGCACTTACCTTTGGAGGATTCATTAAACAGTCAATCGATAGTCAGTCGGCCGTGTAGGACGTAGGGCCCGCCGTGATAGTTGAAGCTTACAATTGTACTTTTGACTGGTTAGAGTGGCGCTTCTACAGTGAGATGTACGGGTCGAGGATATGAAATGAAATGATTTGATACAAGATCTTACTTCTTGTGCCGATGATGTTTTAAGCTTGGCATTCTCGGTATTGAGTTCGTCCATTCATTACTCCGTAATCCGGAATCTGTTAGGTATCGAAAAAGATCACCGTCACCGTTACTTTACTTTACTTTACTTTACTGTACTGTGCCTCACTTCAACAGCTTGATTCCCTTTGAATCCATATCATTTCAATGTCATATCAAGCGAAGACCAACAACTACCCAAGAGCCACCGACCACTGACCACCTAACCACCAACCACCAACCACCAACCACCAACCACTTCAATTTTCAGCCATGGCCATGAACTCGACGAGTTTGTTAATAAATTCTAAAGTTGTGAACCCTATCCAGCGAGTAAGTGGGTCGGTGGCTAAAAAAGAGGTTCTTATCTATTCACCCTGTAACTGTAATTCAATTTTGTATGTACATACTCCGTATACCCCCATCCTGGAGTTGATATGAAAAAATGGGTGATAATATAAAATTCCCGAGGTCAGCAGAATACCTTGGGATGATTCTTGTACCTTACCCGAAGAAATCAAATTCATGGGCAAAAAGTCCTGCATCCCAACACCTTTTCATAGGGTTCCCAAGCTGCGGGTTCGTTATATTTATTTTTCTTGCCGCGTCATTTGGGGGAACGATGGACGAATCAATTGATGTATATTCCAGTTTCTTTCCAATCTGATATATTTTCAAACCAATAAACAAGTAAAGAAGACAAGATTGCAGGAACAGATACTTATCCATTTCATTCTCCAAATAATTTCAATGCTCGTATCAAGGTTCGTCTTACAGCCTTCTAACCTGTACCTTTCTATCCCACAATTCCGCATAGCCCCACGTTTATCAAAGGCAAGCTGCAAGCAAGACAAGACACAAGGAACCATGACCACCACAGCCGTCGAAAATCACACCAAAATCTCCAAGAATAACGTCTAATCTCTACTACTCGTCAAAGGTAGATTGACTGATTTCTTGTCAAAAACTCGAGGTAAATCTTATTTTTATATGTTTATATTATTTATTACTATTACTATTATTATCATTAAACAGCGAAAATACTATCTTTACGGACTATACCCATCTCATATCTTCCATCTTCCTATCTTGTCAATTCTATATTCTATACCTATTCAGAGTCAGCCCCGAGTCTAACAGTCAAAACAACCAGCCCTGTGCAATTCTGTATGAGAAAAAGGGAATCTATACCGACATATCCTTCACCGTCTCACAAATCTCACTCATATCAATGCCAATCCATCCACTTCTGCCAATTATCTCTTTTGCCTCCGATCTTTGAAACTGATTCATTTCTCCTCATTCGATTCCTCTTCTAGAAATAACCCATTCGAATCTTTCGAAAGTTCACCACCAACGTTTATATATACGGACATCATACTATCCCATCCATCACATTTGAACTATCAATCTTCAAAACCCTCCGAATATCCTCCGCCATTGTTCCACTTTGTATCGCCATAAAAAGTTCCAGAACAATATTAAAAAAAAAAGAAAGGGCTAAAGCAAGAGGAAACATATTGCGACTGTTAAACCACAGCCATATTACTATATTCAGCAAGCCCTCGGAAAATAACTCGACTTCGAGTCCAATTCATCTTTGTTCTTGCTATGCAACGGTCCATGCGCAACAATTGTCGAGAAGGTTTGCGACGGAATTCAAGGACTTCCTATGGAAATATATACAATTCAACCATCAACATTCTATTCAATTGAACAGGCGCACGCAAAACCTGCGAAAAGCAATAAACCCTCGCTCGTCCCCTCCACGGAGGTAAGACGGGCGTGGTATCCCTTTGGTTCGGCCTTCGATTTCAACATATCATCATGACCATATACTCTACTCCGCCACCCGCTCGAAGTTTCTACGACGATAAACCTACACTTCTTGTTTGTTGGTGGTGTACCTTATTTTCCGCCGTTATTATATTGTTTCGAGTTTGTGGAAGATATATCAGGACGGAAAAGTTGTTTAAAGAGGATTGGTTGGCTTTGGCTTGTCTTATTCCTTTGTTCTGTCGTATGGCTTTGGTTCATGTGGTTTTGTTGTTTGGAACAAATAATGCCATCATTGAGGATTTTTCAGAGAGAGCTTTGTATCGAAGAGCTATTGGAAGTAAGCTAGTATTGGTATCTAGGATTTTTTACGCTGCGACGTAAGTTTATTCGGACTTTCTTGTTTCTTCTGTCTTCTGTCTTCTGTCTTTTGTCTTCTGTTAGTTTAAACTCTATTCAGTTACTAACAGATTCCTAGACTTTGGATGCTCAAACTTACAATTAGTGAATTCTTTAAAAGACTCACAATTAATATTTGGACAAGGTCACACGAACGAACCTTGATATTCATTCGATGGTTTCTTCTCGTCACTTTCATCGCTGTGATAATAGCAGATATTTCCGAATGTCAACCTATTAATCATTATTGGCAAGTCACGCCTGATCCAGGTGCAAAATGTCGTCAAGGATATGCGCAACTCCTTACAATGGGAACAGTCAATGTATTGACTGATCTCCTACTCGTTCTATTTCCCGTTCCTATCATCATTAGTTCGACTATGAGGATAAAGAGAAAGATTCAATTGGTGTTATTGTTTGCTGGTTCATTAATACCAGCTGGAATAACACTATATAGAATTCCGGAAATTATTGATCGACATGGCCTTCAACAATATCGATCCTTGTTAGCTTCAGTCGAAATTCTCTTTGCAACCGCTGTCGCCAATGCACTTATTTTAGGTTCTTTCGTCAGAGATCGAGGTGTCAAGAAACAAAAGTGGAAATTTGGTTCCATAACCGATACACTTGATCGTACCACATCTCGACGTGGAACCGCAGCTCGTCAGTGGGGAAGTGATGAGGATCTCGTTAGAGGTTTAGGACTAGGTGTAAATCCGGAATTAAGAGGTGTATTCGAATCACCTCCTCGTCCAGCTCCAATGGCTGTGGCTGGAAATATGCCAGTGAGAAGTCAGCGATTTGATTCCGTCGGAGAAAGTGATTGGCGCTTTCCAAGTGATACGAGTGACGAGATTGATTTTGTTAAGTCATCTCCTCCTCGTCATGTATCGGAAGATTTATCTTCAATGATGTCACCACGTCGCGTCTCATTCTTCGATGTAGGAGGATTACTTGATCAAGAATCCCCGAGAAGAGTTAGTTCCACGAGAACAATGGATACTGAATATACCGGTGAATCGAGTACCCAAGGCGGCGGCCCCGTCTCGACTACCTGGTCATTTGAAAATGGATTAAGTCCAGCTCCTCCAAGACGTGGTTCAATAGCTCTTCTTCAAGATATCGGTGGATTATTAGGACCGAGAACAAGAGTTCAGAGAAATTCAAACACAACCTATGAACTCGAAACCATTTTACGGGATAGAGTTCCTCCCACTAGTCATCCTTCGCTTCCTCATTCTCATTCTATGCCACCTTCTATTGATCATTTAGCGAGACAACAGGATAATTTGAATTTACAGGATGTAGGGGGACTTTTGGGAAGATAATCCCATATGATTTGCGCAGTTGTATTCGTACACTGAGTATATTTCCTTGCATTCTTTTATATCTACTTTATTGTATCATCAGCATTTCTTTTTGGTTCATTGCGAACTTTATACCTAAATACTTAGTACATTTTTTTTAATTTTCGATTTTCATCTCTTATCATCTCATATCATGTTATCTTCCTTTATTTTGCTTACTATACTATACCTCCTTTCCCTTTGTCAGAAGCAATTGTAGCGAATTTTACGAAATTATGAGAAATTGGGCGGCTGCTTTGATTTTGAATTGTTCCTGGATCCGCTGGATCTGGATCTGGATCTGAATGGATTTTGGTATGGGCGAGTGAGCTGATCCACGGGATGGATTGGATTGGATTGTATTAGATTGTATTAGCATGGTTGGGCGTTAGGGAGTATAACTTATATTGATATTAATACCGATATTGATATTGATACTGATACCATCACGGCGTTGGTCGGTCGGTTTTGCTGCTATTTTTTTAATTTTTTTTTGTCATTATTGTGCATGAATGGGTGGGTAGTTGAAGGAAGGATGGATTGGATTGGATTGTGGATGAATATAATGTTGATTAGGATTTGGATTATGTGATTGATGTATGTATATTGGGATGTGGATTGAGCCTTAGGTTTAGGGGGCTTGGAATGGGCTGGGATGGATGGGGATGGAGTGGAGTAGGATGTGAATGGGAATGGGAATGGGAATGGGGAATGATGAGGATTGGTGCGTGTAATGGGGGTGGATTTATGTAATACATATCATTGATATGGGGATGGAGGTTTTTTGATGTTTGGTTAGAGGGGAAGGGGGGAGGAAGGGGAGGGGAGGGGAGGTGAGGTAGTATTGTTGGTATAGGATGAGATGGGATAGGATAGTATAGTACAGCATAGCATAGCATAGGATAGGATAGGATAGGATAGGGGATAAGTAAAGTGAAGTGAAGTGAAGTGAAGTAGAGATGAATAATAAATCTTAAATATTTATAATTAGTTCATTTGATTTATTTAATATAAGTCTAGTACCCCACTTCTCGACCACCCCTAATCTCGGCCACCTTTTTATATTAAAAAATGACGAAAATCAACCTTTATAACTTTTTTATTTATAGATATAATTGAATATAATTTAAAATATAAATTAATTGTTTATGTTAAAGTGAATGGTTCCTGCGTATCACGTGCACAGGGCACTAGTCCTATTAGGACTAGATTGAGAAGCTCTCTGTAGGAGAGCTTCGCACTTCCGTAGAATGTGTGAATAATTTACAAGACCAATATAGCCTCAGTTCTGCCCTATCAGCTTCTCATTATTCCCTGTGTAAGGTCATGTAACGATACTGTACTGAAGGCAGTGGCTGCCTAAGGTTTCGTCTTGTTGGTAGTTGTGGGTTAAGGCTTTATCACTGGTCTTCACTTGGAAGTGAAGTCGTTACTAGATCAAGTAGAATGTAGGTAAACTAATTGATAACTAATTTGAGCACAAAGCTCCTTAACTACGGGACTAAATGAATGTTTATATACCCTATATCATCTTTTGAGGACCTTTGGGACCCTAAGGTCCAAAAGGTCCTCAAGGTCCTCGAGGTCACGTGAATTAATGAATCGTGACAGGTCATTCCTTTTAACAGAATCTGAAAATTTTATATTTTCCCCAATTTTATTGATTGAGATATTAATGATTGAAATTTCAATTTTTGTTTTGTATATAATTTGTATATAAATTTAAACGTTACGTTGTAACATTATAAACTATTATCACGTGTTATAGGATCACATGGTGTCACGATTCACCATCACGTCGGACAAGTAGGAATCACGTGATGGAGCCTCCAGGAGCATAGGCTCCTCAAGGCTCCTGGAAAGGACCAGTATATAAACATTCATTATTTTCATAGTACAGGAGCTTCGTGCTCAACTTAGTTATCAATTAGTTTACCTACATTCTACTTAATCTAGTAACGAATTCACTTTCAAGTGAAGACCAGTGATAAAGCCTTAACCCACAACTACCAACAAGACGAAACCTCAGGCAGCCGCTGCCTTCAGTACAGTATCGTTACATATGGATAGTCTTGTGAGGGAGCGAGGGAGCGAAGGAGCGAGATTCGAATCTCGCTCCTCCGCTCCATCACTCCAATGATTGAAATACGAAGGTCTATATAATCAAGATGGATTCCCTTTGTATAGAGCTTCGTGCTCAAGATCAAGATCAATCATTTAGTATACTCTACTATTAGTTACGAATTGCATCATTGTCATTACTTAAGTCCCTGCTTGACGCCTAGTTATAAACCACCTCGAGAGCCTAGAGCACTTCAACGTGATCTAGACGGCAAACCTCGTAACACAAGGTCATTCAATAAATTAAGGATTTTATACATTTTGAAATCCGGGTCTGATTTATCTAAAAATTCACATGGAATCCAGTTTGAGATACAAGTTGTTATGTGGCCCGACTGCCAGCTAATGTTAAACGAGATATTAAAAGTCAAAAGGTTGTATTGGGTTTATTGAGACCAGAAAGAGCATCAGATTGAATTGATTGATTCCCTAGCTAAGCAGTTAAGCTGCGAGTATATATTCAAAAAAAAAATGAAGGAATAGGGTTAGGTATTCGGCCTTCGGAATTAAAAGTGCTTTGAAATCAAAATATTGAAAGCAAACAAACAGTATACCAAAAAGGAAAGAATGAATTAAAAGTTGAGTTTTGTTTGCTCCTTATATGCATATACTGCCAAGATCCCAGGAGGTCAACAGGTTGCCATCCTTCGTATTTACCGTTTCATTCAACTGAGAATTTACAAGTGGAGAGCAATTGTTAATTAAACCAACTACTTTATATTTACAGGATTTTGGAGGCTTCCAGGCCTCAGCGGAATGCAAACAAAGGAGTGCAACCAAATGGGATCCAAGCAAATGAAGTTTTCCATCATCCATCATCCATCATCCATCATCCATCAAACTGGTTATACACCATCGGCAGCAAGAGTTGAGACACTTCCGTCACAAAAGAAACCGCTCCCTCAGACCACAAGCACATACAACTTAAATCTAGCATTGAACAGAGACTGAAGCGAAGAGAACGCTGAAGCATGAATTGCCGGTAATGTGAGTGCTGCTTCCTTCACAGTTGTTTCCAGACCAGACGTAAGTTGCGCATCGGCTATAAACTATTAGCCTTGAATCGAGATCAACAATTTGTGCAACTTACTTCTCTGAGACTTCAATGGAGCGCACATTGGTAACAGGAGTACATGAATATGCTCCAGAGCCAACGACGTTGAATGAAGTTGAGGTTCCGTCGCAAGAACTTCCAGAGTAGGCGTTGACGCTTGCCTGGTTGGCGTCGGGGGTTATCCTATGAGGGGATATTGTTGCTGTAATGACCGGTGCTGTCTCGGTAGCTGAGATGGCTGCTGGCATAGCTGTAGCCAAAGTGCAGAAGGCAGCAAGAAGAGTGACTGGGGCGGAGAAGTGCATGATTGCTAAGGTAGAATAAATTATGTTTTGCTGTTATGAAGCAGGAAGATGAGAGAACACTTTAGAGTAATAGAGTACGATCTTGATGTGTGAATGAGCTGAAGGATGATATGGTATATTGCGGTATGAACGAACAGTTTATATACATTTTCTTTCACCGAAGTGGCAATGAATAGTTTAGTGAGAGATTTGGATACAACCACTCACGCTGCGTATTGAAGTTGGCTATGCACAAAACAGATATCCAGATAAGCAGAGAATTACACTTGAGTGACCAACACTATACAGTGTTGGTCTTCATATATTGAAATCGGTCCAGATCGTCCGGAGGAAGAATCGGTAATCCTCAGTGGATTCCGTGGATACTATGGAATCGCATATACTAACGGTTGCAATGCACTTCGCGCTGTATATACCAATTAGCTGTCAGCTTTGAATATTTGCAAAATGTAGAGCTATTAATAATGAATATATTCCAACGGATATCGCCTTTAAATTAGAAATCATGTTGAGCAGTTAAGTGATCGACAAGTAGATACTAAAACATGATGTTGTTCAGCGCGAGATCTGTAAGTTTGTATAAGTATAAACACCCTAGTTAACTAGTCAGAAAAATACAAAAGTATTGTTTAGAATATCAAAAAGCGACAACTCGCGTGACAGGGATCTTAATTGGCGAGCCAAAAGACTTGACTTTTTAAATCTTTAAATGAATTTTTATTTCATTTCATAATGAGAATATATATAAAGATATATATTTAATGTCACACTCAAGAATACTGGGTAGAGTATCTTGTATTAGAAAATACTAAGCTAAGGAGAAAAGAAGAAGGAAAACAAGAGTAGCGAGTTTTCCTGTGATTAAATACAAACGGGGCATGTCACACTCAAGAATACTGGGTAAAGTATCTTGTATTAGAAAATACTAAGCTAAGGAGAAAAGAAGAAGGAAAACAAGAGTAGAGAGTTTTCCTATGATTAAATACAAACGGGGCATGCCACGTGACCCGAAGGTGTGAGGCGTCACATTTAATATATTTATTAATCATTTTATAACTATGAAATGATTTTTTTAATTTGAAATTAATTCAAAAAATTATTTTGAAAATATATTTTAACGAAATCGGTTTTAATATTATTTTCTTTATTAGACTTTATTGTTAAAGTGAATGGTTCCTGCTGTTACGAGGTTTGTGTTACGCCGGGTAATAAGAAGACGCTCACGTGTTACCAATATCATGTGACTGACTCAGTGAGGATCAGCAAGCTCAGTATTGAGCCATACTGATCCTACTGATCAGCTAGAACACGAAGGTCTATATAATCAAGATGGATTCCCTTTGTATAGAGCTTCGTGCTCAAGATCAATCATTTAGTATACTCTACTATTAGTTACGAATTGCATTATTGTCATTACTTTAAGTCCCTGCTTGACGCCTAGTTATAAACCACCTCGAGAGCCTAGAGCACTTCCACGTGATCTAGACGGCAAACCTCGTAACATAAGAGTGGGATGTGATGTACTTTCTGACAGTCTGAATAGCTGGTCGTTATTTACACCTACTGTTTTAGGTCTCAACCCCGATAGCTGAATCCTGCCGAAAAGTTCGCAACTCGAAAAATCAGCAGAGAATAGTGATTTTTGCCGAAAGTGGATGTAAATTTGACGCTAAAATCCGCTCCATAATTCCAATTAGATTTCTGTCGAGGTCTGATTGATCACAACCCTGGTTTGTCCCGACAGTTCGGCACCCTATTTATGCGGCTTTTCCGTTAGTGTATCCACATGTCTCTGACTTGATATAGAATTTTTTCAAGTTGATGTAGTGTTGAAAATTGGATTTCAAAAATTTCACATTTTAATCTGTATTGTAGAAGTTATGCTTGAGCCCGATAATAACTTGAAACAGTAAAGTTCCTGATAGAACCACTGAAATGTTTGTAAATAAATGACTCGCAAAGTTCAAAAACAAAAAATGATACCTAAAAAGAATATAACAGCCACACACACACACAAACGTAACTTACAAAAGGGTGGGAGACTTTGCGGTATCACTCCGGGCAGTGTTACACGAACTAAGCGCGGAAACGAGAAAAAACACCGTTTAGCTATGGTTAAGCTTAAATGGCTAGCAGGGGAATCACGGGTATTAACGGATCAATCAATTAGTTCTTCGTCAATCATACTCCGTATCTGTACACTCAGAAAGTAGGAAAGTCGGAGGCTAGAGGAATCAGATTATTCCTCCTGAAATTTTGGTACATGCATAGAGCTTCAGACTCGCATACGTTCTCCGCCGCGACGAGTACCCCACTATTAGATCAATCGGGCTTAGGCTTGAGCTCAGCGACTAGCTCGGAAAAACTAGCACGTACCGCGGAATGACAAAGGTAGGTTGATCACAAAATATGATTCTATTCAGGCATCTAATTCGTGAGCCACTGGGCAGTTTACTCCCATAAGGCATAGCTTGAAACTTACGTCTTTAGGAGCAGAAGCGGTGTTTAGGGAAAGAATGTGCGGGAACTAAGTCTCGACAGGGCCTAGCTCCCGTTCGGCTGAGGGCCGGCTCGCCGACCCCCTGACATTGTGACACAAATACCCTAAAGAACTGATAGGTCAGGATTCAATTATTCTTTAAAATCTATAACTACCAATCAAAGGATCAATAACCCTCCCTAAAGGTTTATATATACATTAACCACAGATATATGATCAAACTCGAGTGCTAGTCACTCGAGAAACGGTCAGGGTGATCGGCTTATATAATCCTTTGAACCGTGACAAACTGCTCGCTACTAGATTTATATTCTCCTAAATAACCATCTCACTACAGCCATGAGACCAACACTCGATCTACACAGAGCAGAAGACGGCTTGAGTTCAAATTATTATCTAGGAGTAGGAAGATACTCAGATGGCCCAATCTGGGGCCCCCTAATCTGTTGGAATGACGGTTCTTGCGGAGCACGTATACAGGGATACTGTCCCCTATTAGGACTAGCTTTTGGGCTCTCGCTAACAGAAATTCCGCACTCCCCTAGACTTTCACATAACCACAGTTCTACCCTATCAGCTTTCTTCCCACAATTCCCCTACAGAGAGGTAGTTCCTTTAAAATAATCGCAATCACTTTTGTATACTTTCTCTACGTCAGCAGTGAGGGAATGATTGGAATGCGAAGATCAGCTCAGGTGAGAGTGGATCATCCTATAAAACTCTATTAGCCCAGCCAGCCTGTCTACTGGGGGTTTTTGCCCCACTACTAGAGTTTTATACCCCAGTAATGTCACCTTAGCTATCATTACTTCTTTTCCAACTCTTTTCCAGCTCCTGCGCACAGTCTTGTTGTACTTTCTACCATTGTACTTGTGGTGATTTGAGTGAGTATGTACACGTGATAATGCGCTAGTGCATATTGCGGCCCTACAGCTCTCTTCGGATCCAACCTTTCAACTTCAGAATAGCATCAATAGTAATCTATATATGCCTAAAAATCTAGTTTTCACCACGACGTCGCACCAGCACCGACGACCACCGACGTGGTACCAGCAATACTATTCATCAATCCTGGCCTGCTATGATGCTTTACAAACGCTATACCAATGTTTTTGTCGGTGTATTTCTTTCTACAACCTTGTACTTTCTTTGGTTTTCCGGTATTTTGACAGGATCTTTATTTGCATCATCAAACGCTCCTCCAGTTGAGCGTCCTGTCGGCCCAATCTACAAAGACCTCTCATCCGTCAGAAAGAGACCCCCGATAAATGACAACTTTCCTCTTGCGGGGTTATCAGCAAGGCGAGGTGACCTCCCAGCAATCCCCTCGTGGAATAGACCTCCCTCACCCCATGTAAACGAGTCAACTCCTCTGTTCATAGGATTCACAAGAAATTGGCGTTTGTTACAACAGGTCGTTCTATCATATATCACCTCGGGCTGGCCACCAGAGGATATCTATGTAGTGGACAATACTGGAACTATGAGGTCAAACTACCCTCCTGGCCAGCTTACACTTCAAAACCCATTCTACCTTAACATGCAACGTCTCACAGAGGTCTTTGGTGTTAATGCCATTTATACACCTACCCTATTTACCTTTGCACAACTTCAAAACTTTTATCTCTTCACTGCAGTGGAGCGTGGTTGGGATTACTATTGGTGGAGTCATAGTATGTATACTTCCAACAGTTCTTTACATTTCAAGCTGTTATAGAGAGAGACATGTTCGCGATGCCTATCGCTTCTTTATCTTAAAGAGACAAATCCTGAGCTTATACTTCATAGTGGACATTGTTGCCCTCACCGAGGAAAAGTACGAAGAGACACCATTCAAGTCGCTCTACATGCGTGCTGTCGATAAGCTCCGAGAAGTATCCTCTCCCGACTATCTCCGAGATCCGGAAACTGGGGAAAAGCCAGAATGGGCAATTCAATTCTTCTCATATGACTGGCTAGCACTCAACAATGTGAAGACTTTTATGAAGCATGGTGCGTATGATCCGTTTATCAGTTACTATAAAGCCGATTGCGATTTAATAGAGCGATTTCGCATGTCGGGAATAAGGATGCCTATAGCAGATGCGGGACGAATAATCGACGTTGGAGACTCGATTGATCTTAATCTTTTTTTCCGCCGAAAGATCGACCCAGCAAACCCACCAAAGAGCTTGGCAGAGTTAGCGAGGCTGCCGGAGGATGACAGAGGTGGCAAAGGCTTTGATTACTTATTAGAAGTACTTGCGATTGAAACCGATAATAAGCTGCATGGAGAGGAAGTGCGGAATTCGTGGCAGTACAAACAGCAAGGTGGGCAAGGGGAGCCATTTTACAGGGATCCCGAAGGATTTGAGGCAGGTTTGCAGATAGCGATTGAGGCCGGTGTTCAGACTTATCAGGAGAAATGGGGTCATAAGGAGTGTGGTTTAGTTGACTCAGGGTTGAAACTCACTGACGCATGGAAAGTAGAGCACGATTGGGTTGAGACCTGACCTGTTGACCTCCTGGGATCTTGGCAGCATATGCATATAAGGAGCAAACAAAACTCAACTTTTAATTCATTCTTTCCTTTTTGGTATACTGTTTGTTTGCTTTCAATATTTTGATTTCAAAGCACTTTAATTCCGAAGGCTGAATACCTAACCTTATTCCTTCATTTTTTGAATATATACTCGCAGCTTAACTGCTTAGCTAGAGAATCAATCAATTCAATCTGATGCTCTTTCTAGTCTCAAGAAACCCAACATGACCCCATCTACAACCTGACAGAATTAGACTCTTGGATATTGAGCTCTGATGCGTTACTACTGATGGTATTGAACCACCGGTCCCTTAATGGGCTATATTGGATTGGTGAATGAGAATTGAGTGTACGATAGAGAATCTAGCTAGTAAAATAAGAAAGTAACACGCAATAATATGTTTGTAAAGTCCAACCGAACAAGGTAATGTGTGAAGGTATCCACCGTTCAAATATAAGATCACTTTGAATCCTTCCCGAAAACTGACATGACAGAAGATATTGATCGCATCGGGTTTTGTGGGATCAGAGAGGCTTTGTGATTTTGACATACTCCTAGTTGCCATCAAGGTAACAGTAGTGGTTACGCAGAGCGGCAATTTGCCGCAGGGGAACAATTCAAGAGAAAAAGAGGCACAGAATCATAATGAGATGATGGTGGAAGACAATCTATAATCCAACCAAGATCCTGTAAAACCAGGCAAGATATTACCCACAGTCAACAAAAGTTTTCTTTCCTCATTTGACTTTTGAGGTCGTTGAACTTCCGCGTACCCATATCTTCGAGCCTGAGTCCATGTTCTACCATCGTGAGTCCAACAACAAATTTGAGTGAGCGTACAAGCATAATCAGATATAAAAGATGCAGGATGAAGAAGTAATCTTAATTGTGCAGCTTCGAAAATCCGTTGTAGAACTCCATGATAGTTTCCATGCATTCGGGTATCCACTGAGTGTTTCATCTCAAAGCAACTGGAAAACGAGAATGAACGAATTTATCGCGGGCAAAGAAAAGAAATTAGATAAGGAAATCTTGGTGATTGTGAAGTGTGCCAGATATTTATGGTTGAGGGATAGATAATACCATTCAAAATACGAACTCTGTGACTGACATTATGTAGTAAAATGTCTCGGCTGTGTGCTTCTCCTTTGGGATAGATTTAGATGACGAGCTACGAGTATCTTATAAGCATTAAGGAGTTAAGGGTGATAGAAAGTGAGTATATGAATCTAACAATGAACGAAATAGACAGGATCATTCTAATATCACTCAATATATACCAATAACGCGGATATCCAACAAATCGGTAGCCTCTTCATTTAAAGAAATCTTTATGTGTTTCAAATATTTATAGATAGATTTCTTCCAATTTGTTTGATGTTAGTTTGCTGATATTCTGCTCATCTATAGGAATAATATCAAAGATTATGCTGCGCTTGATTAATAGCTTCACTGACTCTTTGTCCCTATCTTTAGCAGCGCACCAGAGTGCTATTCTACAATTGGAAAATCAAACGCTGCTACAAATATGTTGTTGCTTTTACTTTGTTGTAATATCACGTCAATCACATAATCAATGTCATTGTGACTATAAGAATGCTAGAGATCTTTACTATTCAACTTTATTTTAGCATAATCCTCAACCAATTTCCTAAGAGGGTGATACCCGGAAAAGAGTCTAAGAAGAATATCCTATATTAATTTCATTTATTTATATTTTTAAATTTATTGAAAATTGAAAAGTTGTGAATGAAAGTAAACAAGTATATTTATAAATCAAAATTAATTCAATATTAAATACTTAAATAATAAAAATTGTATAACGTGGTTTAACACCGAGTGCACCACTTTTACCTCAATTTGCACTTTCTAACTCATATTATTCAACAATCATTAAATCAATCAATTAAAACTACTAAGAATCTAACAATCTAGGGTCTATTAAATTATTAGAATAGGTTCTTGAATTATAATCAGTCTTCCCACACTTGCTACAACATCTATTAGAAGATGCTTCCCTATTAGAATTCCCTTCATTTTGACGCTTGTCGTATTGAATCTGAATATCAATCTCTTGTTGAGATAATATATCTGTAGCTTCTTGTTCAGTAAATACTCCTCCTTGACGTAATTGAGTCTTTTTCGCATATCGACATTTGCTTAATACCTTATTTATCTTCTGAAGTATACAGTTTTCTGTACTTAGAAGTATATTTTCATATACCAATCTCTCTATATCTTTAGCTAAAGCTAATACAGTTTCGAATATAAGTATAGAAGAGCTTGATTGATAACGAGCCATTCGAGATTTCACTAAAGTTGATTGAGAAAGAGCTTCAATTGGATTGTGAGGAATTTGAGAGATCCAAAGGTTTAAACCAAAAGGTGGGGGGAGTAGGTGTATGAATTCGAATATCTAATTTTGAGAGTATAGTTTGAGGGTCAAATGGTATTAGACCTGTTCCTCGAAAGCCAGCTTTCATATTTTGAAAGGTGATTGATTGTTGATATACAATTTTGAAAGCTATAAAGAATTCAATCTTAATGATATAATTAATATATGCCTTAATGTTACGACGGCTATCTTCTACGCCGCGTCACATGACTAAGCCAAGGTAACGTGATTAGGTCACGTTATGGACCGCTGAGGAACGCTGGCTGTCCAGGACCGCGCAGCGGTCCTGACTAGCCATAGGCATGAAGGTCTATATAATCAAGATTGATTTCCTTTGTATAGAGCTTCGTGCTCAAGATCAATCATTTAGTATATCCTACTATTAGTTACGAATTGCATATCATTATTGTCATTACTTTAAGTCCCTGCTTGACGCCTAGTTATAAACCACCTCGAGAGCCTAGAGCACTTCCACGTGATCTAGACGGCAAACCTCGTAACACTGAGATAATATTGATCTAGTAGGTTAATCATTCTTCTAGGTTCTACGGAAGTGCGAAGCTCTCTTACAGAGAGCTTCTCAATCTAGTCCTAATAGGACTAGTGCCCTGTGCACGTACTACGCAGGAACCATTCACTTTAACAAATATAATTAAAATATATTTTTAATTTTATATAACACTTTATAAATCAATAAACTCAGAGCTTTTCAATTCTCTTTATATTTTTTGATTCGAGAATATAATTCGTTATATTTTCTATATTATTTAATTTAAATACAAATCCTTTTTCATCTATATCGATAATATATTGAATAAGCATCTTTTTTTCTTTTTCAATCAAATTGTTAAAAGGAATAGAAGTTACCGGTACTAATCACGTGTCGTGATTAGTAATACGGTTACCTAAACAGGCTAGATTAGATGAACCATAAGCAGGCATATTGGTCCCCTCCGAGGATACCAAGAGGAGATCTTAATATGCCTACACACGTAGTAATATAGTCAATATAGAGGCCTCTTCCACCCAATCTTTTAATACAAATTAAGATTATTTGCTTAAGTTTCCATTTTATAAATTCGATCATTTATTTTATCTTGCAATATAGTTCGAGGGACTTTATAGATTTTCGCAGTCTTTTCAATTGTAAGATTTTTGATTTTTGAATAGCTTCAATAACTAAGATTATTCTGGCCTCTTTTGATTGTATTTTCATAATAATTTGTTGAAATATCGCGTCTTGAAATTGAATGATAAAAGATATTGAAAAAGTGACGACTCGCTGATAAACCACGTTATCACTTCTTTTAATTCCCGAGATGCTCAATAAAGGCCTTAAAGATTTAAAAGTCTTATACGATTAAAAACTTTTAATCATTCATTCAAGTTACCAAGTTCGATATAAAGTCCAATTCATCTTTTTGTATTTAAAAATCAATATATTAAGAATCCTGACAGCACAAATTAATAACTCAAAAACAATTCTCAAAAGATAATAAGAACCTCAAGAAAACTTAATCTAAATATAAAGAATCAAGTCTACTCAGACCATGCAAGAAAAGTAAAGTTAGTGATGTGATCTTGAATGTAAGTGATTAAACAGATGTAAAGTGCAAGTATTAGAAAGACTCTATATAATATATAATAAGGAATCAAAAAAGTATTTTATATTTATAGAGAGCGAAATTTGAAGGAATATTCGGAGATTGAAGAATCTACTCGAAATCTATAATAAAGCTGACGGGTATAAGGGAAGAGAAAGAAATAGAAAATGATAAAAATATATTAGTTAGCTTTTGTAGAACAGTACAAGTAGATCTTGATGAGGATAATACAGTGTAAATATAATAAATATAATAATCTCAATGTGACCAAAAGGGTGTTTATAGACCAGCAATTGTATTTAACTTAGAATCTACAGGTGAAGAGCACCTGTAGATGGGGATAGCTACTCTATATATACACAAATGAATGGCCTAGCCGCAATGGCTAGGCAAAAAGAAATCGTATTTATTCCTCCAATGATCTTACTTTACCGATAACCATTGATACCTAGTACTTGTCCGGATCTGATCCTCAGGTCACCTAAATCGCATACTAATCTCGAGTAATCGTATCATGTGTGGACATGGTTAATGTACCTGAGGTTTCTTATATAATAAAGGTGGGAGGAAAGCAGGGATTTCCGTCACACTCAAGTGAAAAGTTTATAATAATAAATTGAGTATTAACAATAGTAATAAAAACAAAAGATATAAATATAAACAAATGAGATATATAGAGTAATTAATATTCGAACTTTTCATCGATAATTCTGTTTCTTTACTTTATTTCTTTTTTAGAATGATAATTATTTCATTTATCCACCAACAAACATCCGGCCATATTGTTACGAGGTTTGCCGTCTAGATCACGTGGAAGTGCTCTATGCTCTCGAGGTGGTTTATAACTAGGCGTCAAGCAGGGACTTAAGTAATGACAATAATGATATGCAATTCGTAACTAATAGTAGGATATACTAAATGATTGATCTTGAGCACGAAGCTCTATACAAAGGGAATCCATCTTGGTTATATAGATATTCATGCTCCCTTGGATCCTTTTGGATCCTAAGCTCCAAAAGCTCCAAGTCACGTGCTTTCTGACAGTGCGTGCACATACGATCTTAAGGTGGCCCAGATCACATATTAATTCGATGAAATCTGATCGCTTTTGCACAAGGCCCAAGCTCTCCTAATTAGTCAATTGTTACTATCGTAACACATATGAACATTCACCCATCCAAATATCCCCCTCCTTCGTTCAGAAAAACAGAAAACAAAACCTCCCAACAACCACCTACCATTCACAATCCACCGAATAATTTCCAACTCCCTAACCTAAATACTCATCTCCTTTTCTCCCCCCTTTCCTCCCTCCCTTCCCTCTCCACACCACACACACAAACTCCACATACAACCTCCCACAACCTTCTCCCCATATCATAAACACCACATCATCAAAACCAAACCCCTCTAAATCCTCTACTATCATACCATATCATACTAACCTATATTATACTCCACTAAAGTAAACCATACCAACCCAATCCAATGCAATCCACTTACTCATTCCCAAACCTAATACCCATACATACAATACACAAGCGATGATCAAAAAAATAAAAGTATATACAGAGAGCTGAGTAGTAATATAGAATCTCCCAGTGGAGTAGGTGTTGTGAAATATAACTCTGAAGAAGAGAGGGTTGATATATAGGAAGTTAGAAATTATACACATATATATATATAACCAGATAAAGTATGTATATGATATAAATATATAATACACGTAAACTATATCACAAAAATACCCACTAGAGAAGATATAATCTTACATGGTATCATTGTCTACTACTTGTATTTCTAAATGCCCTGAACGTGCTCCGCCCGTTAGAAAGATATCCATTTATACATGTATATCCTATTTAATTCTATACTCAACTCATAATATATCTCCCATCAAAGAATTCCTATCCATAAAGCTCGTGTGACTATGAAAATCTCGAATTTGTATTCGAGCGACTACTATTGCCAGCTCCTCCGCACCAACAGCTTACATCTCCATCTTTCTCAACCTGAACCACAACATCTACCCCTTTACTCAAAAGGAATGCTCTCGTTCTCGTCAAAACATCTTCAAGATCCGATCCTCTAGTTGCGACAACATGCATGACTCCTAATACCGTTTGGTTCTTATCGCCTAGCCAAAACTTTGGAACAGTGTAAGCCTGAACTCCACGCAAGTCACTCACGCCAGTTAATGTATTTCGTAGGTTGTATTCGGTATCGTCAGGAATGGTCAGAAGTAACTTCTTGGCACTACTTTTGACCAGAGGGATTGAGGAAAGGAAGATAAGAACAGCAATGAGACAAGATGCGAGAGGATCCCAACCAGACCATCCGACAAAATGGATCAAAATTGTAGAGACAATGACTGCAGCACTGCCCATTGTATCTGCGAGTACATGAAGAAAGATACCTCTCATATTCTCATTGTCATGCGAATGACCTCCATGTGAATGTGAATGTGAATGTGAATGATCATCGTGGAGAATCGATGGCTGTTTTTTATGATCGTGTTCGCAAGGCCCATCATGGGAATGAGAGTCGTGAGAATGAGAATGAGAATGCCCATGAGAATGTCCATGATCGTGTCCATGATCGTGTCCGTGATCATGATCGCCATGGTCATGTCCATGATGATGATGACCAAAACAAGCCATGCCTACCAAATTGACTGCCAATCCTAAGGAACTGACAACAAAAAGTTCCATTAATCGTTTCGTTTCTCGTCCTTCCGCTAATCGTTCAGTCGCTTCTATCATAATTTCAATGCTAATAAGTCTGCAAAGCTGTTAGCCATTGTCAGCCATCTAAAACAGGTTTACCTACATGAGAAATACACCATTTCCAAATCCCGACAAACTCTCAATCTTTCCAAATCCATATGGAAACCTCTGACTAGGTGGCCATTTACTTGCAACTGCAGCAAATAATCCCACTCCAAGTGCTAAACAATCGAAAAACATATGTATACTATCGCTCAAAAGGCCGAGAGAATCGGTGACGAATCCATAAAATGCTTGAACTATCATGAAGGCAAAATTAAGACTGATCCAGATTAGTATAATTCTTCTATAAAGCTAGAAGAATGCCAACCTCATAAAATAAAATATCCTTCTTGAATCTTTACTCGCTAGAATTGTATGTAGAAGGGGCCACTTTTGCGCGTATGGCAGTATCAAGCTTGTAAATCGCGATTTCGTCTCTGTCATTGTACCGTGTGTATGGTCGTGGTCATGATCATGATGGTCGTGAGGTGTAACATGTACATCGTTCACCGGGGGTTCATAAGTCCCAAATGATGTTCCCTTTTCGAAATTGGCAGACATAGGACTTGCTTCACCATATGATGGTGACGGTAGATATGATGTGGAGTGTTCATGGCTATGACTGTGTGTATGGCCATGCGAATGAGAGTGGGAGTGACCATGATCGTTTTCGTGTTCATTTTCATGGAGAGTTTCGGAGTGATTGCGAGGATTATTATGCAGACTCGAGGTCGATTGATTCAACGGCCTTGATCTATTCGCAGAGTATTGTGATGATCGGCTTGAATGTGAATGTGAGGGAGAATGCGAATGTGAATGTCCGTGTCCGTGGCCATGTCCATGATGACTATTCGTAATTGCTGAAGCTGGCAGAGAATATGATGAGGCCATAACTTCGTGAATTACCTATGAAATGAGTAGAACGAGCTATGAAGCTCGTATATAATCAACCCCTCTCCACATATATTTGTCGTTGTCGTTAATTATCTCACTGCCGTATCTGTTTTGATTTGCGCCGAGATACGTCGCCTCCGGTAGATTGTAGAAAGCTTTGACGATCCAAGTGGATAAGTAGAATTGGCAGATGCAGGAAGAATGAATGAATTGATATATATCCTCACTCTTCAGTTAAACAGGCTGGTTATTCTCAATGGAAGGGCGTGAGAGTTTGAGTTGATCACAAAAGTAAGAAATGGGAAGTACAAGTACAAGAATGCATACAATCTAGGAAAGTCCCTCGGAATTAAAAGCTGATGGATGGTCCTACAAATCTTGGAAGAATTGATAGAAACCAATAATAAGGAAGAAAGACTCAGCCCAACCAAGACTTTGGAGTTTTTCCCCTGGATTGATTCTGTGCTTACCCATTAGGAAAAGCTATCCATGCAATTCGAGCAGTTACTAGCCAATCAATTATCTTAACATGAATCCCACTTGCCTTTTTGAAAGATAACGTGGAACGGAAGCAATTGAGAATGGCCAAAAATAATACGATTTAAACTTATTGGGGTACTCCACACAACCTTTTCCTGCTCTATCTATCTGACTCAGCAACGTTACCGAACCTGCTCAAGTGTCACGGTTTACAAGGTAAAACGTCACGGTGGCTTATTTTCAACCAACCACATTCGAGATTAATCATTTAAGCTTGGGGACTGCACGCTTCAATGTTCCTACTTGGGTAGCAAGATGTTAAAAATAAAAAATGAAAAATAATGAGACCATCTTGATTGATAGTTGGTTGAATTGAGTCGTATACGTATAGTACAGGAAAAAGAAAGATCCTCGATCCTCGATCTGCTATTAAATCGTACTCAATTAAGTTTAGTTTCCAAGGTTTTTACTTAAAGTAGCAGAATGACAAGACGATCACCTGCATCTAAGCCAATTTGAATCAATTTCGCCATCCATGACCGCCTTTTATCATGATTTTGCCAATCACCGACTTTTGATCTGGTGAAGTATGAAGTGGAGTGAATTGAAAGATCATAAATTTGAAGAGCAGGATATGGATACATGCAAAACTCTCGCTCTTTAAATTTCAAACTTCACTTTGCCAAAGGTATCTACTTGCGACAAATTTCAACATCTTCTTTTCCCAGATAAGCTTAGGAATTTCTCTATCATGAAGGCATAATTTATCTTCTATTCATAGTTTCTGGTGGACGGACTATCTGGAAACATCATTCGAATCTAAAGACCACGTCATGCTAGAGAACTTTTTAACATTGGCCACAATAATTTCTACCATCTTCACAATTATCCTCTTCCTCATACCGAAACGATATATCAAACATTCGCCTCCAATGGCTACTCGAAACGGTGAACATGTCGAGCCTAAAATTTCAGTTCAGGTTTTGGTTTTGGGAGACATTGGACGAAGTCCTCGAATGCAATATCATGCTATGAGTATAGCAAAACATGGTGGAAGAGTCGACCTTATTGGATATCAAGGTATGCAAGCTTGGTATTGAGTTTCATTGTAAACCGTGCTAACCATTGTGCAGAGTCCGAGCTACCTTCTGGTTTGACTGATAATCCTCTAATCACAATCGTACCTTTACCATTACCACCACCCATTTTACGAGATGGCAGCGTGCCATTCTTTCTCGCGGGCCCTTGCAAGGTTTTATGGCAGATATGGACTTTGTTTGTAGCTTTATGTTATACTACAAAACCAGCAAGATGGCTTCTAGTTCAGGTAGGGTGCCCGACCCATCGTCCACTGCTTGTCTAACATTCATAGAACCCTCCATCAATTCCTACCTTTTTTGTCGCATACCTCGTTTGCATTGTACGAAATACACATTTAATAATTGATTGGCATAATTACGGATGGACTATACTCGCAGGAACTAGAGGCTCTAAACATATCTTCGTTCGACTTTACAAATGGTATGAAGCTTTCTTGGGATCATGGGCACCAACAGTTTCATTCACAGTTTCGAGAGCCATGGAGCGCCAATTACGCGATAGTCCATATAAGATAAAGTCACCCATATTCACTCTTCACGATCGACCTGCATCCATTTTCCAACCTATCACCGATCAAGAAAAGCGACGTGCTTTTCTTCAACGATTACCTGAAACAAAAGATCATGTTGATTCTATCATGAACGGAGATGTACGATTGCTAGTTAGCAGTACATCGTGGACGCCTGATGAGGATTTTAACCTTCTTCTGGATGCCCTCGTTAAATATGGACCATTTGCCGAATTTGATTGTCCACCAATTCTTGCCATCATCACAGGAAAAGGACCACAGAAACAAATGTATCTTGACCGAATTGCAGAACTCACCGAAAGTTATGATCTAGTTAATGTTACGATCAAAACCGCATGGCTTGATATTGAAGATTATGCCTCGCTACTTGCATGTGCAGATCTGGGAGTATGTTTACACAAGAGTAGTAGTGGTGTTGATTTGCCCATGAAGGTGGTAGATATGTTTGGAGCGGGATTACCAGTAGTTGGATATGATCAATACTTTAGTTGGCCTGAATTGGTCAAGGAAGGCATTAATGGATGGGGATTTACAACAGCAGATGATCTTGCAGATATTTTGGAGGAAGTCTTTAAGGATACAAGTGGCAAGGAGTTGGCGAGATTAAAGAAGGGGGCCATAGAAGAGGGAAGAAAGAGATGGGATGAAGAATGGGATGGGGTTGCAGGAAGACTTTTAGGATTGATTGATTGATTAGACAAGGTGGACGATAGAGTTGTAAATAATGTACCAAATATTAGATTATAGACAATATCTTCAAACAATTGTAGAGGAATCACGAGTATTCATGGATAAATCTGGCTCATATTAAAATCATCAGCCCTATCACAAAGGTAGTATCCACATATGCATGTACCTAATTTTGACCCTGACCCCGCCATAAGATGCTGCAGCGTATTCCATGTGAATATCAAGACATCAATACTTCATTAGCCACATGAGGATTATTACTCCGGTCAATCTATTCTTGACAACCCCGAGTCGAGGTCCTTCTCAGGGGCTTGGCCGAACATGCCATGGACTTCTTCATCCAAACATGGATAACTTTAAACGGAATGAAGTGAAATACCGATCCAATTGCGTTTGATATTCAATTGATATTGGCTTGTTGATGTTGGGGAGGAAGAGGAGGAAAACTGATGACTTTTAGTGATTCATTATGTTATGATCCGTATATCCCTCATGTTGTAAGACTCTTACTCCGTATATCCGAATAGGTGGGAGAGAGGTGAAAGGTGTACCATATCATGGTAGACAATGTCTGAAAGGTTGATATTAATCAGTTCAATGGAATTAAATGTCTAGCCTTCTTTCGCATTAGAAATCAAGATGCTCGTACGGTGTTCAAGTTGTGCCGAATACCCATCTTCATCTCCTTTCGATTTATTTCTAGAGGCAACTACTGAATACGGTAGACAAATCATCATTTTGATATCTGCACGATGACCGTATTATATAATCGCTATTTTTGGTATAGTTTAGGCTTCTAAAACGACTGAGCCACAATGACGCTTACCCATTCGCATTAACTAGCCGCCTCATACTATTCGTCCCTCTCTCTCCTTCCTTCCTTCTTTCTCTCTCTCTTCTCTCATCAACTTTCGGAATCGAGATTTATTTCTATTTCAATTTTACGATTTTACTTTCATCAACATCATAACATAAATCATCTAGAACTCAACCATCGAAACTTAATTTCACATAAAGTCGCCACCATGGGGATGCTTCCAAGAGAGATGATCCCAAGTCTTGGACTTGCTCGAAGAAGCCTCGATGCTTTTCGAGGTAATGAAACACCAACTGAAGAGTTCAAAATGCCAGTATGGAGTGTCGTGATGATTGGAAGTACTCTTGTTGCATTCTTGCTCATGGATTTTTTGGTACGTTTTTTAAAGTTACATCCACGGTTATCCCCTTGCCAATATCTTTCTGTGGTCATGAATTAATTGTCTAACTATCAAATTAGATTGAATATACCTTCTCCAGACTCATTCCTACTCTTGTTATGGTCGAATCTCCTCAAGCAATTCTATTCGAACCTCTCGCATCTGAAGATCCCGATACGAAATCCGATCTTAAAGGAGAAGTTGAACCGGAACTCTTACTCGTCAAGCAACAACCCATTACTTCAAGCTTTAAATCAACGATCAGACATCTTCGAGCCCGCGCCGGATGTAAAAGCCCTTTCCGTGGTGTTGGAATGCACTTTGTTAAGACCTTTGTGCTTCATCTACAAATGAACTTCCTTTCTATCTTCCTCCCTAGGATCTTCGCCCTTCCTCTTGCGACTATCCTTTGCGCACCTTTCAGTTTGGCATGGACGCACATTGTTATCTCGGAACCTAGCCCACTTCCATGGTACAAGAGAATGCCAGACATCACAACTATTAAGAAGGTTATTCCAGCAACAGCTATCTATGCTCTCGCCAGAGAAGCCGTTTTCTTCCTCCCAGGTTACCTCGCTCTTTCTTACGGTCTCTTCCAAACTGACCCATCAACTATGACCCCGGAACAAATCAGAACCATGGGCCTACAAACCGCTTCCGTCGTTATTCTAACCGCTGCGCTTGCCTTCCTTGTTCTCATTCCAGCAAGTGTCACCCTTACTCGTGTTCAAGCTTCTCTTCTCGCCGAAAACGAGGAATCTATCGTCCCATTTGATCGTACATTTGGTGGACGTGTTTCCGAAGATGGTGTTTTGGGCGCCCTTGATGCATGGAAAACTTTTGATTGGAACTCTCGTGTTAGATTGTTAAAGGCATATGTTAAGGCTGCTGCCATGGAAATTGCTGTCATAACTCTCTTCGCTACTTTCTTGTGCGCACAACTTATGTTAGTTCTTGGTACCGAACACAAGACGGTCATCGTTGGAAAAGACTGTCACGGAAAACCTATCCAATTTGATATGTAGAGGGTAAATACTCATCATATCAATGTTTCTACTTATCTCAACTCTGCACTATCTAGAGAATTTGATCCTTGGATGAGATATTAATCTATTTTTTCTTTTGTTTAAAGGGGTGTTGGATGGGTAGGGGGGGCTGGATAGGAGGCGAACTTTTGTGCCATTGTCATTTAGACATATAGTAAACTACATACATCATACATTTATGAACTGTATTATAAATTAAAATTGATACTATCGTTAACATTATTTGATTTGGTCTATGACTTCCCATCTCAATATATTCATAATGTGATAGAATTAACAATATATCAAGGCTCTCAAACCATAACTAGACTTGACTTGATTAACCGATCTTACAACTCACCCACCTCTCTCTCTCTCTCTCTCTCTCTCTCTCTCTCTCTCTCTCCGTCCATCCATCTTTTTTATTTTTATTCATGAGTATTTCTTAAACGATTATTAACCCATATCAACAATAGACAAAAGAAGAATTGAATTATGAAAGATTATATATATAATTAATAGAGTATATTAGATATTTTCCGATATTAGTTTCGCAAAATATTAACTCATCACTTGAAAATACCAATTCTGGATTCTCGGAAATCTATTACTTTCTTGAATGGAGTAATTCCTTTCAGTGGTGCGGGGAATAATTATAGTTTATATGTATCTAGTATGTATTCCCATTTCTCGAATTCTTCTTGTAGATGGAATATTTTTGTCAAATATTACAGAGAACTCGTCGTTTAGTCATGGGGGTATTTTCTGGCATTAGGATAGACTAATAAATCACAAATCACAAACCATAAACCAAGGTAATAACAGAAATGACTCGACAAATTCGAAGCAAAAGAGCTCTAGTGATGAATCATAGAGATGAAGGGGTTTTTAATGGATTAATTCTAGCAAATGGAGAGATATTGTTGACCTCCTGGGATCTTGGCAGCATATGCATATAAGGAGCAAACAAAACTCAACTTTTAATTCATTCTTTCCTTTTTGGTATACTGTTTGTTTGCTTTCAATATTTTGATTTCAAAGCACTTTAATTCCGAAGGCTGAATACCTAACCTTATTCCTTCATTTTTTGAATATATACTCGCAGCTTAACTGCTTAGCTAGAGAATCAATCAATTCAATCTGATGCTCTTTCTGGTCTCAAGAAGCCCAATAGATATTGATATGTAAACATGTATATGTTTATTCATATAACTAGAAGTGATGGAAAGATATATCAGGATTGGATTCCTGTCCGAATTTTATTCAGAGTGTTTCTAGTACTGATAGGAATGCGTTAGATATTGTTAATGTAGAAGGTGCTAGAAATAGAGTTTGGAAAGTATAATTCAGGTGAGATATTTCTCTAATCTGTCTTGAAATAGTTTATTTGCACTAGTATATAAGCTTGGGTCTAGATAGAAAGATTTCGAATAAAAGAGATGTAAGAGTTGGATAATAAATTTGTAGATATATATAGTATAGTTCTTTTTTACTAATAAACTTGAAATTGGATTTATAATTGGGAAATTGAAATAGTAGTACAAAGGTTTGTAGTAAATATTGGACATGAAAGGGTATTGAGGAGTTTGATTAAAGAAATTAGTGAGGAGGTCGTTGGGAAATGTGGTGGGTATAGAAGGAAGAGAATGGAATGGGAAATTTCTTTGGATTTGAGAGGAAGGCTAACTTGTGACTGTGATGAGATAATTGGTGAGAGCCTAGTTGGATGGAAGAGAACAGAAATGGGAACTCGTTGATTCCGAGAGACGAACTATGTTGTGATTGTGAGATACGTGCTGATCATTGGGGGAAGATGAGCCATGAATATTCGCGATGGCGAAGGTGGTTGGACGATTCAGGAAGATAAGTCTTGAGAATTAGAATAGTTTGATGTTGACATAGAAACAATTCGGCGACTGGAGATGAACATTGACTTCGGGAAATTTCCACAAGGAGGGAAGTGATAGGCATCCGTACACCCCATTCCCAAGAGCATCTCGATGAATATTCGCGAATATACTATCATGTGCCCAATACTGATAGAAAAATACCAGGTAATTGCTGTCATATTCTTTTGAAGCTATCGTGAAGTTTTCTGGACTCGATCTCGGGCTTCCTGTCAAACCCATTCGGTGCTCATGTAAGGATGAGGGATCTAAGATTGTGCTCCTCAATGTAGTATTAGGCTCCTGTGTCCAATCTCGATGAAAAATATCTGTGGATCTGATACCGGGTTCCAACCACGGAAAGAGAGTGACAGATACACTTATATCGGATCTCCTTTGAAGCTACGTTGAAGTCATGGCGACTCGGATCAGATCCTTTTGTCAAACCAGTCTAGTGTTCAAAATAGACAGATAACGCGGGGTTGTACTCCTAAAAGATATCCGGCATGTGGATTCCTATCCGCGGATATTTTCTACATATGAAGCAGTGATAGATATTAATATCGGCGAAGTAAAGAGGGAAATTGTCCTGAATATATGACCTTGGACCATTTCACCTTGGAAAACTGGTATAATACATGAGAGGAAAAGTGTTTCGACGTCGTATTCATCGTGACACTGGTACGAGAATGATAGAAAATGGTTTCATTCTTATGTGTATCACTTCGAATTGCTACACCAGATATTGAACAAACGCCCGAGATATCAAATTGTGTTACCTTTTCAGAATTATTCCGATACTTGGGCCCCTGATCTTTATCTGCATATATCGATCATGTCACTATAGACTTATCACCTGGTTTCATCCTATAGCATTGAAGCATTGGGTTGTAAGATTTTAGATTGAGTTAGTGATTGTTAATGATTCGTTGGGTTGAATGGTATATCTTTCTTTTGTTCCTGATTTAGAGCTGAAAGGGTAATTGGCATGGAATAGAATAAAGATTAAAATACTATTTAAAACTAATCGTGACAAGCTTTCTTAGTAAGATACAAACAAGAATCGAGTATATCTTCATCTTCATCATCATCATCTTTATATGTAAAGTGTTTTGCCCTGCAAAGGTTCAACTACCTACCTAGCTAACCTCATTCCTCCCCACCTTCCGAAAACAATCCTAAAACTAACGACACGACACGGACCGGCCCCGCTACGTCCGCCGATACGCTAAAACCTTCAAGTTACCTTGTGATTATCATCAGGTTCTCTGTAAATCCAAAACATCCAAAACATTTACAGCTTCGCATACTTATATTTCACAATATCGATTATTCTTCGTACTACCAGCCACTCAGTCATATCATAAATAATTGACACAGCGATATATATCTTTCTTGGACCCCACTGTAGTATCTGATTAATTCCCTTTCCCTAGTCCTCGGTTTCACCTTCTCATAAGGTATGTAGTAGAATCATCATGAGTGGATGTTGAATGTACCATCGGCTTCTAATGTTCGGTGGACTTCTAATATTCATTGATACTGACTACTTCGCAGACATCATTTTGAATATAAAAACCTATTCCTTTCCACCATCTGCGAATCTTAATACTTCACAGCTCCTCATCTACAATCTTACACAAGTTCGAAATTCACTACAGATATTATCAGCAAAGCCTGTAATCCTACAGATATGACGAGTGCAGCAGCAAGTCTGCTTGGCAGACAACTTAAAGAAATCCAAAAAGCAAAAGACTTACCGGGCATAAGCTGTGGGCTTGTGAAGGATAATATTTTCGAATGGGAGGTTATGCTTATGTTGAGTGATGAATGCAAATATTATGGTGGTACGCCCTAACCACATTCTTATATCACTCCTTGCCAAAGTCCTGCAAAACTTATGCTAACCATATACTTTAGGAGGCAACTGGCGTTGTCTACTCTCTTTTCCCGAAGACTACCCTCATGCACCACCAAAGCTTACCTTCTGCGATCCGATCCCATATCACCCAAATATCTACCCTAAGACTGGTGTACTATGCATTTCTATTTTACATCCATCTGGACATGATGAATATGGTTACGAAGATGCTAGCGAAAGATGGACACCAATCCAAACACCAGAAACTATCTTACTGAGTGTAGTTAGTCTCATGAATGATCCAAATGATAGTAGTCCAGCAAATGTGGAAGCAGCAAGATTATGGAGGGAAGCACAAGCAAATCCAAAAGGCAAAGAAATGAGGGAATGGAAGTCAAGATGCAGGGCTTTGGTTAGGCAGAGCTTGGGAGAAGAGTAGTACTGAACCTGTTTATCGAAATGGTTAGTTGTGGTTTCAGCTAGGATCTTATTGGAGGAAGGTGATATCTTGATGAATGGGGGAGGGTATGTTGGATCAGGAGTTATATTTGCATATTTAATGCACAGCATGAGCGGATTGAGTTTGTTTTGGGCGTTGCATACACTATACCTTTTGTGAAAATATGGCATAGCGCATTGAATGAGGGCATATGACTTTTAGATCCTCGTCAGTGACTTGACGACAGTGCAATGAGTAGGTAGTATAAATGCGTGTTAACTATAGAACACCAAGTATAGAAACATAACCGAGGTACCCATACAGAAATATAAAAAGGATCTAGTGATCTATTACCGGGATATATTCAAAAGATTTCGAGTAGCAGTAATCTACACGTTTCAATCTTCCTTTGAATATTTCTTAGAAAGTTTTCTGTATTAGGTTTTAAAAGAAAAAAGTATTTGGATTCTTCGGATGGTGATTATGTTTTAGGATAAGTTGTATCAGAGATGTCTATCTCTCTAGCTATCTAGATGTATAAATACAGTATAATAGTATCACATTTCTATAACTACAGTCCTTCATATACCTAAATACAAAAGAAATACGAATCCTAAGTTTACAACCATGAGTAATCTTTTTTCTAGGCCAAACAACATGCTCGTCTTGATAAAACCCATAACATCATGATGCGTCGTACCACTCGCAGCTCGAGAATATCCGTTGATGATCTTACGGAACTTAAGCTTGTGATGCAGTATATTTTTGCTTGTGATGCAGTATATTTTTGCTTGTGTTTACAGTATGGTAATCTTAGATGTGGACATCGACAAAGATCTGTGTGGTGAACCTTGAGGATATATATGAGAGACCAGGGAGAAATACTAGTACTCTTGTACTCTCGTATTCTTCGTCCAAGGTTGCAATTACTCGTTTCAAGAATAAGACTATATATGGAGATATTGAGGATATATTCACGGTGTGAATCTGTGCTGAGTCCTATTCTACTCCTTGTTTATAGCGGAAAGCGGAAATTGAATTCTCTAAGGAAGAAGATATCGGAATGATGATGGGAATCACTGCCAGGTTTTATATGGGAGTTCATTGGTAAGTAAGTCTATTGTAAGTTTGGTTGTGGTAAGGATACTTTTAAAATTCTCTTTTTTGAAATCGTTGAATGGGTTTTAGCTTCGGTTACGGTCTCCTTTATGTTTGTGAGAAGTTTGCTATGAAGCTCTGCTGATATCGGATGTAAGACTTACTATTTTCGTGTTAGTAATCTGGATTTTCAACTGTATGTTGTTTGTTTGGAGTGTAGAGATGGTTCAGTTACTGTATGAACGAAGTGAATGACTTCAATTTAATTACTACTGTAATAAAGAACTAAGCGAACGCGAAAGAGACTAGCTCTTTTAGTAAGTCTATATAAGACTTACTACTTTCAATATGTAGCTAGCTCTTTAGACAGAATACAATTAGACATACAGGACCTACGTAATCCGTGGGTGCTACGTCTTCCGTATCCTTCTCGTACCAACAGTTACGATGCTCATACGTGCAGATACTGGGAGGAGAAGACATGGAAACGTGGGTGCATGTAGACTGCATTTTGGCGCTGAAGCTCTCTTGTAGGTAGACTTGTCATAATTAAATGCATTTGAGGGAAGCCATCGACTAATTGTTCAAAATAGTCGACATGCTGTAAAGACTCGTTAAGTTGAAATGAACCCCTGGGTATAGTTTGGTGAAGCTGCTTAGTGATTCTAGAAGTAAAATTTAAAGTGAGAATTAAACCCGTTAAGTGTCCGAATGAGGTAATCATACAACTTTGAATTGTGTAGAGAAGAGAGTAGTTACGAATAGACCTTGTCGATGAGCCTTAAATTGAGAATTTGTGACATTTACTAGAAAAATACACACTATTAGCTTCTTGTAATTTAAATGTACCGAAGTGAATTCGAAAGCGTGACAAGAGAGGAGGTAGTGAGGAGAACAAACTCTGTTGATGTGTCGAACTGGTGTGCTAAAGAAGAGGTCCTAGGGAGCTGATTCTTCTTTTTTGCTCAGTTAAAAAAAGCTTTAAGCGTTAGAGACAGTATAAAGTGCCCGACCCTCTGGAAAAATAAATTTCCTGGGCAAAACTGTAAGGACAAGAGATGGAAGGTTTTTTGTTTTGGGAAGAAGTTGCCGTGCGGGAAGGAGACTAAATTGTAGAACTTCAAAAGCATGTGAATATCCGGCAATAAACACAAATATCAAATTCTACGCCTAGGCATTTCCATAGTCTCAAATAGCAATGTATGAAAACCATTAATGGGAATAATAGCTCGGGTGAGTCTTCAGGTACTCCTCGAACTTAACCGAAGGGGTAATTGTAGACAAGACATCACAACTAAATCTAAAAACAAAACAGATTTTTACGACATTATTTATAACAATTCTATTATTTTATCAAACATATAATGAATTCTTTGTGATTGCATGGATGCTCCTTATAGTCAGAATCTTTTTCTTCCACATCCTTCCATGGAATCCTATTATATAGTTCACAAGAAACTCTTGTCGAGAGTCCCACAGGGCATCACGGATAGTAACCTCCGGGATTTGACACTACAGCTACAAGAATGAGTTTCTTTACAAAAAATAGGATCTTAACTACAAGCCTGGAGCTGAAATATTGTTTCAACGCGAAAGGAATGCCCAACTTGACAGCAAGTTATCGATACCACGGAAAGCCCTTTCGAATTCCCTAAGTCTCGAAGAATTAATCCACTATAACTAGGAACGGCAATTAGAAGATAGAACGGTAAAATATAATACTCTAAGCAGATGGAAGTTGATCCTTTCTTCGAATGAAAGCAGTTACTGAAAGTACTACAAATTTCACAGTCTTGACATCAAAATAGCATAATCGAATCAATTCGAGAGTAGCCATTCTTCAATTCCTACAAGAATGTGACCATTGCACATCTGTCCAGTTCATTGAAGACTGTACTAAAATTAAACAGTAAGTTTCATCATGTACGTGTCAGATTATCATGCTAATATGTAATGCAAAAGCCAGCGTAACAACTACATCAATTCAAAAACTAATCGCACCTCCATATCTTCCTCAAAATAAACACTTCACCTCATCAGTTTTTGATAGCCTCAACAACTACACTATTCACCTACCTCTTAGCTTTGCAAATAAGATGCTTCTTGGTTACTCTTCTGATAGAAAGTCTAATAATACGCTGTGTTTGTTTTACAGTAATCCATACCTCTATAGCTATTATTACTCATCCTCAACTTCCCACAATCATATCCTACAATATTAATACACACCCCATCCGATCTTCGCAAAAAACAAAACTTAGTAAGTTGAAGAGCTAGATCAGCAAGAATACTAAATCTTACTAGATCAAAGAAGATGAAATACTCGAAGTGACAAGAAAAAAGAACAAATCGAGAGATTTTTAAGTAGCTAATACATAGTATAGTATAATAAGTTTATAAAATGCCAAATAATATTTATTTACTTTCTTGCCTATTTAATTCATTATCACTATGGAGCTAAATCCAGTAACATAGATATTGAATACTTATTGTCACGACTCACCATTAGGATTAGTGTCCTGAGATAAAAAGGAATCACGTGATGAAGAGCCCTGAGGAGCCAGAAAGCTCCTGGGGGCTCCCTTCTTCGTTCATTATATAGTCAGAGTAGTTTCATAGTTTAGGAGCTTCGTGCTCAACTTAGTTATCAATTAGTTTACCTACATTCTACTTGATCTAGTAACGAATTCACCTTCAAGTGAATACCAGTGATAAAGCCTTAACCCATAACTACCAACCGACGAACCTTAGGCAGCCGCTGCCTCCATGTTACGACAGGTAACAATTAGGTCACAGGATTAGTAATAACACGTGATGCGAGAACTCGAAGAGCTCGAAGGCTTGGCCTCTCGAGTCCTTCGATCGAGGAGAGCGAAAGGATCGAAGCTCGATCCCTTCGCTCCCTTCGAGCCACGAAGCATGAAGGTCTATATAATCAAGACGGATTTCCTTTGTATAGAGCTTCATGCTCAAGATCAATCATTTAGTATACTCTACTATTAGTTACGAATTGCATATCATTATTTGTCATTACTTAAGTCCCTGCTTGACGCCTAGTTATAAACCACCTCGAGAGCCTAGAGCACTTCCACGTGATCTAGACGGCAAACCTCGTAACAGATAGTTACTAGTAGCTATACTCCTCAACACCTTTCCGCATAATGACAATACCACCCTCCTTCAAACCATCCGCCCACAACAGGGCGCCTCGCTCAAAAAAAAGGCAGAAAAAAAGCCACCCATCAAAACATCCCATATTTGCAATATTGAAACTTATATACGTAAAATAATTATTCTGAAACACTTATCAAATCTCTCCAAAATATGGTTTCCTTCCATAAACAAAGTGAAACTTCATATAAACATGATTCAAAGGATTTTTCATATCTTTTCTCGGTCCTACCATCATCACCTGCGCCTCTTCGAAACTATACCCAAGTACTCTCGTAAATAAAGCCATACTGATAGGTTCGACGGCATCCAAGCACTGAGCTTGGTAATACATACCAATTTCCTTGAGGCGCTTATCTTTGGGCCAACGACCGATGGGAACTTTGTAGATTTGATCATGAACATCGACGAATCCAGCCTCGATCATCCATTTCTTCTGATTTCCCGCAACCTCATCCATCATCTTTCCATTCTTGACACTGGCCTCATCGATCAATCCGAAAAACCTCTGCAAGCTCTCCGCATTGAGATCCGTACCATCGTCACTCTCAATATGTACTTCGTGTTCCTGTGCTTCGACCCATCCTCCAGGTCGAACATGAGTATAAGCCTGACTGAATAATCTCGGCCAGTCCGATATCGAAGATGCAAGTACCCTCCAATGTATAAAATCGAATTTCCGATTATGTGAAAACAGCCATTCATCCTCGGCATTATCAATCAGGAATTTACAATTTGGTGGTACCCAACTTGGTTGGATAGGACTTAGATCGGTTCCGATGACTTCCGCAGAGACAAATTCATCAGCGCATTCAATTGCCCAAAGACCAGTTCCGGTTCCGATATCGAGAATTCGTTGAGGATTAGGATCTATGGGTGCACAGAATAATTTTCCACCAAGAATGAGTTTAAACACGTGATGTTTGAGATCGAGCCGTTGTTGTTCTGCTTCATCATTAGGAAGAAGATAGGACCCGGATTGATAAGCATGATAGCGACGACCATTTTCGTAGGTATAATTTAACATGGATGAATTGATGGATGTGGATGAAGTTGATACGCCATCATCCTCCCAACTGGAATCTGCGTCACTTTGAGTATCCTGCGGGGCATTGTGAGTCTTGAAGAAATTTGGTAGGTATTTCATATCATATTTGATTTAATATCATGAAATGCAGGAAATTTTACTCACAACTTCAACATCAGCATCTTGATCCCCATCGCTTTCATGGAGATCGTTTTGATTTACATTTTGGGGTGCAGCGCCATCATTAACGGTAGTGGGTAGTTGACTGGGAGCTGTTGATTGTGTTGATTGTGATGGAGCCGCGGCGGAGGAAGCTGTGGTGTGTTGTGGTTTATTTGTTGACGACGACAGGCTGGTGGACGATGAAGTCGTGGTTTGTGTGATAATTTCTGGAATGTTTTGCGGTGCTTTATCATTCAATGTCGATGTATCTTTGTTTGATTGTGACATCTTAGTTGAGTATTTTCGTATCAGCCAGTTGATGATTAATATCCCGACTGTTGTATGTATCACCGGCTACAACTGCCGAGACGTGCAGATTATTGATTGGATGGTGAAAAAATGGTATAGGTTCAGTAGATCTTTTTGATTTGAGGAAGGCGGTGTAATGAGTGTGAGCATGAGAGTGATTATGATGCTGATCTGTGATGTGTTCCGTGAGGTGTGATGTTGTGATGTGTTATGCCATAGATGCGATTGATATGAAGAAGATATCAAAGTAAAGAAAAAGGGGACAGCGAATGATTATTATGTTATATGATTTCCCTGCACGGATGGTATTTATTTATTGGCTGCGACAGTTCGAGTAGCGTTGGACACATGAAATAAAGAACCTCAGATTACTTACCTTCTACCTTGGTTACCTAGGTAGGTATGATCTGATGTGATATAATATTCGGAGTTAGCTGACTATTAGAGTATTCAGACTTTGAATTTCCATATTCGGCCGATCCGGTCGGTTATTTTATAAGCTTCATTGTCAGATCGATCTCTTCAAGTCATGGCGTAGGGTATCACTGCATGATGGGATGATTATTCTCCGCGCAGAACATCGCTCCGAGTAGATTTACATAGAACTTGGTAGGTAACATAGTCAAGATTCAACAGAGAGAATTAAACTTTTCATCTTCTTGTTTGTCTTGACTTCTTTTCTGTACAGTGTGGTGGCAATGGACTAGATGATAGTAAACAGATATTATAGGATTAGTTAGTTGAAATGGCAAGTTTGATTATTAGTACAGCTGAACTACTGAGCTACTAAGAAACCCTTCAATTGATCCCCGATCGCGAAAATTCATAACCAATTGGCTTTCTTCTTGCTTTTTTCTTGTTTCTTGTTTCCTGTTTCTTGTTCATCACTTCACTCGCGTCCGCTGCGCACATTTCAATGCCATGAATGCCATGACTGCCATGGAAGCCATGGAAGCCATTGAAGTTTTTTTGGGTGTTGTTCTCCGTGCTATCAGTGGATCAATAATCTGCTCTATCCTGCATATCATCGGATAAATACCTACTTTGAGCATTAGTCCCCCTATTAATGTCATCGGGCGGCTTTGTCTTTACCTGGGATCCATAAATATTCTTCATGAAAATCTACGGAATATATGCCACGTTTTTAACCGGAATTACTACCATGCCCATGTGCTAGCTAGCTAAACCTATGGCCTGCTGGCCCGCTCTTTGAGTTACCAAGCGGGTCCTACACCATGGCATCCCATCGTTGCACTCGAATGAATATTCACATTTCAGACGTACTGCATCGTACATTCGTATGAGTATACCATTCGAGAAATAAAAGTATCCAATCCATTCTACTCATCACTACACTCACCGATCAATTCATGCATTTTACGTCAGCCATAGGATTTGAATAGATTGCCTGCACAGAGTACCTAACAATCAACAACCAAATTGTCGCCATGGAGAAAACCCCCGAATCATTGGCCCAAGAGATTGCTGCTATGAGAGAGCAGTTGAGTAAAGTCAGCAAAGCAATTGATGTGTATGAATCAGTAGCTACTGGAAATCTCGACAAGGAGGATACTCAATCCAAGGGAGAAATCAGCCAAAAGCATGTGGAGCTTTTCGTGGAGACGGATAGGCTAATGAAGAAAGTGAGGGGTCCTGTTGATATGGTATTTTCCAATTTTGAAAATGTAAGTCTGAAATGGTCTCGCAATGAAAAAGAAAAAGAAAAGAGTTTGTTTCTTCATGAGGGAGTAGTACACATCACGATGAAGATTGCCATGGAGTAACAACAATATGTGGGTAGAGCAAGGGTAATGCAAGCTGACCGAAAATTTGTCACACGTGAATAGTCAGTGCATTCAGGAACATTGAGAACAGTTTTGGAAATGGGTGTGTTTGATGCTTTACCCATGGATGGATCATCATCAAGTGCTACAATATTGGCCGAGAACCTGGGCGTGGAGAAGGAGCTGCTTGGTAAGTATTTGCATTCCCCTTCTAGATATATTCGTCAACTAAGTCTGGGTAAGTTCGATTCATGCGAGTACTCACGGTCGCCGGACCATTCGAGGAGGTAGGGGAAGAAGAATATGCCCATACACCATACTCAATGGCATATATGGCCCCTGAGCTTAGGGGAATTTTTAAGTTAATGTCAGGAGACCCTGCCTCATCAGAGCCCATCACAGCCTATTACCTCATTACCATGTCAATTTCGTTAAGCACCCGTGTAAAATGTTGCGCAAATCACCATTAGCCTTTCCTAATGCAAAGAAAATAGGTACGACGAATACAACCTCGCCAATGCTCGAATGTATGAATTTTTCCGCGAAAATGGCTTCAAGAGTCCAGAAGATCACTATGTCAATCCATATTGCTTCGCTCACCAAACTGGCGAGAAAAATATGTGGGAGCATATTGGATCGTCCCCAGAGCGCTTCCAAAACCTAAACCTAGCCATGAAAGCTCAGAGTGTAGCCACAAATTGGACTGTTGGAATCTTTCCATTCAGAGATACGCTAAAAGAAGTCAAATCCAATGATGAGACCGTGCTGATCTTAGACATAGGTGGTGGCAGTGGGCACGTGACGAAGCAGATCATGGAGGTCGTCAAGGGAATTCCAGGAAAAGTGGTTCTGCAAGAACGAGATGAGTTGATTGATGCGATTGCTCATACAATTCCTGAAGTCGTGACGATGAAGTATGATTTCTTCACACCTCAACCTATTAAAGGTATGGTGGATCCCTCTCTTGCTTCATGAACTCTGTGCATATCTTGCATGCATGATTGCTGATACGAAAAAGGAGCCCCGATATACTATATTCGTCGATGCCTGCACGATTGGCCAGACATTGACTGTGTACGAATACTCAAAGTGATCGCTGCTGCAATGACGCCTGAGATTTCAAGACTTGTAATCTCCGAAGTCGTTCTTCCACCAATTGCGGCAGACGTCGAAGCAAGCTGGATGGATGTAACCATGATGGCACTAAGCGGTCGTGAGAGAACGGAAAAGCAATGGGTGAATTTGCTAACTCTTTCGGGCTTGAAACTCAGAAAGATTCATCATGGTCCGGGGACAAATTATGCCGCAATCGAGGCAGTCCTAGCGTAAATACTTGTGGTAATTCCGGGTATTCAGAATACTAAATCATAGGAGCTGCCGGCAGATAGAAGGGTGGTATAGAGTACAAAGTATAGAGAATACAAGAAGCTATGCTGACTCTAAGTATGTTCCTGCGAGCCAAACGAGTGAACAACCTGCTAAAGCCCATGCGCCCACAGCTTTCTTTCCCCACCAAGAATCATCTACTTCTACCTTTGCAGCGCGTATTTTGCGAGTCGGGTGGCTTTCCATAACTGTTGCGGGGCCTGTAGAATTATTTTCGGCCGCTTCGGTTCGTTCACGCAACTCGGCAATCTTCTTGCCTAGCGATAATAGGTCCTCTTTCCATTCCGTGTCGTTTGCTACCTTGTCGACTTCAACATTTTGCACATTTCCAAAGAAATCCATCACTAGCCTTTCTCTCCCTCCTTCCTCGCCACCAGGGAAAAGATCCCATCTAACACCTGGATGTGAATGGATCTTTGCTTCATCATAACTGTTAAACAAATCTCCCAATGTCTTCTTGCTGCCAGGTTCCCGGACCTGAGTTTCGAGGAAGTCCAGGTTGTAATATGTGTATCGATCAATGACTGCTACACCAACATCATTATCCGCATGGTGGGAGTATGAAGACTGATCAATTTCCGAAGAGCCGGTTGCGATTATGTTTGGAGAATAGAATTTGCTGTACATGGTATTTGCTTGGCATGTATCGATCATGAAAAGTAATTCGTGATACCTTTGGATCGTAGTCAGTACACAAATTTGTCGTACGTTGGAATATAACAAACCTCTTCTTCTCCCACATCTGCTCAAATGCATCCGCCAAATCAAATGCACTAATTTCCTCCGCATCTTGGAACTTCAAAAATTCATTGCCTCCATGACCTGTCATATAAACCAAGATATTACTTCTATCATCCGTCAAAAGCCTCTTGCTTCTGGGCATTTCTTCCCCAACTCTATCCGTCAATAGTCGAATGAAGTTTTCTACTGTAACCTCATATCCTCTATAATCTACCTCAATGTTGTCTCCATATAAGTCCACCGCGCGATCAGCGTTACTGTAAACTGTGCCAGGAAAGGCATTCCGAGGGTTGCACGCCATGTCGTCCGGTAACATGAGAATTATCTGAGAATCAGGAATCCCTAGACGTTTGACTGTGCGATAAAGTGAAAGAACGTTTGCCAGATGTCGATAGTTGAACCAAAACCGTGAGGTAGATACGAGGACTGCCCAATTACTCGTATGTTCTGCGGTAACAGGAAGAGGTGAGAGTATAGGCGCAAGGGCGAGAGGAAGCTGGATCAAACTTGATAATTTCATGATTGATGTACACCAGTATAGAAATGTAAATATATATCAGATAGATGTGACAGAATCGAGTGTATCCTTTCTCGTTGTAGAACTACCGTACTATTATGTATTCGACATCCCTGGACTCATCTTATCGAAATGAAGTTGGTAGGTATGTACATAGCAGGAGCTTACCAATCGAATGAGGTCTGTGGATCTGTGGATGTGATGTCTCACCAACCCACGAGTTCATGCCTTAAAGCAATGTGTGCATTTATGAGGCCACAATTTATCCATCACATGCTTTCATCTGCCCCGCTCCGCTCGACCCGCGATTTTCTGCATAGACATTTCTCAGACGCTGGAGGCTTGAGCTTGAGGTTACTTCTTTTGCAGTACGTTGAGTCGACGAAGCTATTGACAACCGGCTTAACAAGCCATTTGGGTTATCGGCTCTATGTTATGTTATTGAAGATATCTTAACAAATGACAATGGGTCGGCCACCGGCTGTTATTATTGTTGTCAGGTAAGAGATCTCTAAGGGTCAAACTCCATATTCCTGCAAAGGTTTTTGTTCTGCTGCTCTAGTGAACCAATATTGATCAAGACTGTTCTGTTTATTGCTCCGCGAGATTCCTCTTCGGTGGCAAAAATATCTAATTTATTCATAGGCATGGTGCTCGCCTCGACCAAGCAGATAGTCAATGGTACTTGACAACCCCGACTCCATACGATCCGCCTCTCACATATGGTGGCTGGACACAATCGAGATCCCTCGGAGCTCGTATAGCGAATATCTTACGAAGTCGCGAAACAGATGATGAGTTTATTGCTAGTGCGGAACAAAATGGAGGGAGATACAGGAAAAGGAGGCATAAAGTGATCATACACACATCCCCATTTTTGCGCTGCGTCCAGACATCAGTTGCCATAAGTGCTGGTCTTGCACAAAATCCTGGTCATACACATCATTCTCAACGTTCTTCTTCCGCACAATCCCAGCACAAAAGTTTACAAATGCATTCTTCTCCCAGAGTGCGTCCTACACAATCAACAGACTCGCCCAGACTAGCCCCACTCCTGGAGAGCACAACTGTCCCGCCAAGTTCAAGTAGCAAAATTATTGGACAAACGGGCAATATTAGGAAATCAATGATACGGGTTGATGCATTCCTTGGTGAATGGTTGGCCCCGGATTATTTCGAGGATATTACTCCGCCTCCAAGTTCTATTATGATGGTAGCTGGTGCCAAAGCAGATTTATTACGAAGAGAGGACTACAATAGCTTGATACATGTGCGAGATTTCTCTGCACAAGGTTCATTCCAACCATTTCCAGGTGGATGGGGAAGCCCGGTCACAACCGACAAGAAGGAATTCCCATCAGTCTCGAATTTGAACCATGCGCTACCTAGAAGGGACCGGACCAGCAGTCTGAGTAGTGTGGGAAGCAATGGAAGTCGCCAAAATTTAAAGGGCGACGGTCATCTGCTTACGTCCGAGCACGATATTTATCACCCGCCGGTGCCAAGTTATGCGATTTCTACATCCGATCCTATACCACCTGGATATGCTACGCACGCAAGAGATGCATGTGTTGACGTTGATTATCAATGGGATAGTATGCGCGAGCCTTTGAATTGGGGAAGTGGTGGCGAATATGGCGAAGAGTGGCCCTCGATGCATAAAAGATTTCGGAAAGGTCTACAGAGCATGTTGGGTTGGTATAGCAGTAATGAAAACTCTGGGGAGATGGTTACGAAGACTCCTTCTGGTCCAGAGCTTGAAAAGCAATTTTCCATTGATGAAAGTCATGAAGAAGAAGATACGGATCTGGTTCTCATCCTTGTCACCCATGGCGCTGGATGCAATGCCCTCATTGGGGCCCTGACTAACCAGCCCCTTTTAATGGACGTTGGAATGGCATCATTAACCATGGCAGTTCGAAAACCCACCCCTGAGAATACACCTGCCTCAACCCCTAGTGCAACTCCCAAATCGCATTCTCGCACAAATTCCAAAAATTTATCCATGTCAGACGAGTATGATTTAAAGCTCTTAGCAAACACAGAACATCTGCGCTCCAGCCCCAACAGTACTTCTTCATCCCAAACTCCTTCTATCACAAATCAATCCACATTCCGCGATCGTCAGTCTGCCGACCCAAATCGTTCCACTACCGTAAATTCCAGTCTAGGCAGTATCAGAAGAACAGCAAGTATAGCAAGTTCCCAACCTCGCAGCTATACAACGGCTAGACAATCATCAGTCGGGCTATGGAGCGCTACTCCTCCGCCTAGAGAATCTGTCAATGAGAACGACGACACCGATGCTGATAGTATGATGTTGAACTTCGGAGACGATGGCGCAAATGCCGACGCATCAATTCAGTCGACCGCCGAAGAAGAAAATAAAGCAGCTGTTGTGAAAAATCAGGAAATAGAAACAAGTGCGCTAGAGGAAGATGAAGTTGCTCCCTTGGGCTTATGGGGTTCACCAAGATTGACGGCTAGTTCAGGTCCAGCCGTAGATTTAGACAAGTCGAGCCATACGCCAAAGAGAAGGTGGACTGTTAACGAAAGGGGGTGAAAGTGAACCTCTGCGGGCTGCAATGATCCGGATTCTAATCACGAGTTACTTTTAAGTGGTACGGGCCGGGAGGCAAGAAAACATGGAGGAATATGAACCTGGAGTTCAGTACAAAAATGTATGGATGGACGCATTCTTTTGAACGCATGGCATAGATGAATGGATGGATGAATAGACCTTTTTGAGTTGAACCAATTGATCATTTTATTTGAGCGGCAGCGTGGGCGTATGGTTTTGGGACTCGATCTGTAAAAGGTTCTGGACGGAACAAATCAAAAGTGTGCGAAGGATATGATACATAACATGGTCTACTCAGGCGAACTGCTATGGTTTAAGTCTCTTGCGAGGAACCTGAGGGACAATAGCATGGAAATATTGATTGGATGTTTCTGGGTTACTGCATATATTAGGATAGGGTCACTTGCATTATGACTATATTTGTCTCATACCAAAACCAGATGTTATTCCACACAAACTGTTATCATTATCATTATTATTATTCCTATGTGAGATTACGGGGATAAATGCCAGAAACCACTGCCACGACATGATTATCTACGTCTCCTATAGATATCTTGCTTTGATCTGAAGCAAAGCTCTTTCAGACCTACTTGATCATGCATCTAATCAGATATTCGGCTCCCAGACAAATATCCTGGAAACCATCTTCCGGGACCTGAGCGGTGATATCTGTATATTGATTAGCGCAAGTAATTTGATAGATTCAAATTTTCGGAGAGAAAAAAATGCGGCATCCCATTGCTCATTCTCAAAAGTGGTTTGTTCCTCATCAACGACCCGAAGGCTATATGAGTGGTGCATGAAACTCGTGTCTAATCATCGCGGGATGGGGAAAATAGTTGGGATATTTAGTGAAAACGTACCACATGGTAACACGATACCCATGAAGATATCCGGCTGCATTGATGGTGCTTCCGCCCTATATCATGCTCGGAAATTCACAGCGAAGCTTTCTATCGAGGAGATGTCTAGTATATGATGTAGAATGTCAACACCACCAGGCCTTGCCCAGCAATACTGGACAAATAGTAATGATCATACGTATTGTGTATGGATCTAATTCTACAGATAAATTGTTAGCTATGTTCCATTTTAATGCGAATATGTATTTGAGGTAAGGAGTAACTGAACAATCAGAGAGGCTCGCATGCGTAATATTTGTAACCATGTATTTTGTCTTCAAGACTAATCGATTTTTATACCATCATCATAAAGTTTCGTGTCGATAAAAGTGCAATGAGATATATATTGGACTTACCATGGCTCCTAATCATAACCCTCAGTCATCATCGTCATCAAACTCATCCAGTTGGAACACCTTTGGCCTCTCGACGCCTGCGCCACTCTGACCACCACTCATAGCATTACTTCTTCTCTCCATCTCCAACCTTCTTCTTTCCTCTTCTTTCACTCTTTGTGCTTCTTCTTGCCTCTCTAACTCTTCGGCCTTCTCCCTCTTCTTTTGTTCCTCGAGCTCAGGGTCCCATCCCTCAGGGTCGATCCCACTGTCAACTAGTGCTTGTATGCTTGCTAATGCACCCATCCTAATATCTTCTTCGCGAGCCCATGGCACGAATACTTTGTCATTAAAGCCCTTATTAAGAAATTGTACATAACCAGCATCAAGGGCAGATTTTGACTGAGAAGGCTGTTGTGATGGTGAATCTTGACTTGCAGAAAGTGGATTTGCTCCGTTGGGAGTAACAGAAGGGACATCTATATCCATAGCATTCCCATTCGCACCGTTGCCAGTAACGGTAACGCTAGGCGTAGTACTTCCATTTGTCGCAACGCCTTCTTGCTTTGGTGATGAATCTTCTGGTTTAGGAACTCGCGCCTCGGGAGGGACTGTGAACTTAGAAATTCTTCGCGCGTAGCTGAGAAGTTCTTCGTACTCTACGGGGTTTTTGTTCTCTGGGTACTCGGACGATGGAGTGTTCAGGAGTTCGGTCCGTGTGTTGGTTAAAAGAATAAGAAGGTCGCGAATTTGGGCATCGAGAGCT